ACTTGTGATCCTCCTGCCTCAGCCTCCTGAGATGCTGGGATTAAAGGCCTCTGCCACCACACCTGTTTCTATTTTCACTCATGCAATCCCACCTGATTACTTTGGGCCTGTGGTGCCAGCTCGTGGAGAACTCTGAATCGTTTAAAGTATCCCCCAGCCCTGTCTCCATCCCAGGCAGGACTGAGAGTGCTAAGGAGGAGAGAGGCCAGGGTAGATCCCTGAGGAATGCCCTAGACCACCAGCCTCACCCTGCAATACCTGCTGACAGAGAATCTGAGCCAGCAGATCCTGGCCAGTCCATGGCATTAAGGTGGCCTCATTATTCACAGAAATCACACGGGGTTTGGAGATCTTAATTGCCAGGGAGGGGCTTGGGTCCTACATGGAGGGAAGGAGAAGAGGAACATTTGTGGACCCCACCTTGGGCCAAGTACTTTGAATCTCTGCACCCCACCTTCCCTACTCCACCCTACTGCCAGATGCTGCCCTAGCCCCACCCTGCCCCAGTACTCATGGCAATTTTCTAACTAGATTCCCAGCTCTGTGCCCAGCTTCACTGCAGTTTTCATGTTTTCTTGCCTTCTTTGGGGCAGGGGTTCCTGGTCTGTGTGTTGGTTGTGGTCTGGTGGGTGCCTGTTGGTGCCACATGCTGCTATGGCCCCAAATGGGCCCCCGTCTGTATCCAAACAGGGTGTCTGTTGCCATCAGAGTGGGCATGAGGGCCTTGGGTTTCTGCTGCTTCTTATGGCAAAGAGTGAGTGAGCCTGTCATCCAGCTGCCCACCCTGCGCTCCCTCTGTTGTAAGTCACGAGCGCTCTGGTAAGCAGTATAGGCCCCACAGCATTCGGGATTCCTGACTCCTCATCTCTTTCCACCAGGGGCAGAGCCAACCTTGCATTACTAAGGGTTTTTTTGTTTTGTTTTGTTTTGTTTTGTTTTGTTTTGGGGGGGAGCAATGAGAACTCCTGTGTATGAGAAGCAGCTTTAACACATGTCACTCACAAACCCCCAAAACGTCTGTTTGACACCTCTTGCTGATATGTACTACCAACTTCTAGTACCCCTCAAACCAGCTTCCTCCCATCTTCCACTCTTTCTGGGCACTTTGCAAAACCAATACCTATTGTCAAGGAGAAAGAGACAGACCTCTTCCCACACACTTGGGTTCTTTGGAGATGGGGTCCCTGGAGAGATGTTCCACGTGTTGACTTTAAATAGTCAATAACCAATCAGCCTAGATACTCTGAAGGGCGGGTGAGAAGTTGAGTCTGTGGACCAGATAGGCTGGCTGGTCCTGTGCCCTCCCCTGAACTATGGGGCAGCCAGGCTCCAGCCACTGCCCAGATAGGTGGAGTCAGGCCCCACTAACTGCCTCAACCTCCGCATTTCCCCTCCCTGCCCGAAGCCTGTGCTCAGCAGGGGGACGGCTCACCTCTGTTTCCCCTTGACCTCCTGCTCAATTGCAGTAAGAGGCCAATGGGTCATATTAAATGACTCTTGAAAACAATTCCCAAGAAGGCAAAAGAACCCTAGATAGATGCAAGAGGCAAGAAGTGCAGAATATAAAAGCAGACTAAGTCCTGTTGACCTCAAGCAAGGCTGTAATTTTGTGGAAGGAACTGGGAAGGCTGTATGTAGGAGGTTGGATCTTGAAGGAAGGGCAGGAATTATGTAGGCAAACTTGAGGAGACAGGCCTGCTGGGCCAAAGCCAGGAGTTTGAGCAAAGTTTTGGTGGAAGGAGCAGGTGGGGTGTTGGGAACAGCAGCTGGTAGAATGGTATCCCTGGAGCACAGAGTACTTAACACAGTAACATGGAAGATAAGGTTTGACAGATCAGAGGGATATACATTTTGGAGGCATTTAAAGGTCCTCAAAGGAGTTTAGAGCTCACTGTAGAGGTCCATGACTTGCAAATGAAAATAGAACAATTTCCTTAAACAAAAACCTATGTGTTGGGGGTTGGAGTTGTGGCAGAGCGCTCGCCTCATACGTGTGAAGCGCTGGGTTCGATCCTCAGCACCACATTTTAAAAAATAAATAAACAAAACAAAGTTTAAAAAAAAAAACAACTATGTGTTTTTGACCACACAGTCAAGAGTGAACAGCTCAAGAGCTAGGAATATAGCTCACTTGGTAGAGTGCTTGCCTCACATGCACAAGGCCCTGGGTTCAATCCCCAGCATCCCCCCAAAAAATAAATAAATGAAGAGTAAAGAGTTCCAGCTGGGTGTGTTGGTGCAAGCCTGTAATCCCAGCAGCTTGGAAAGTTGAGGCAGGAGGATTGCAAGTTCACAGCCAGCCTCAGCAATGGCAATCTGCTAATCAACTCAATGAGACCCTGTAATAAAATACAAAATAGGGCTGGGGATGTGGCTCAGTAGTTGAGTGCTCCTGAGTTCTATCCCTGGTATCCCCCTACCCACCCCCCCAAAAAAAAAAGATTGAAGAGTTCTGGTTCAAAAGCAAGAAGGAGAACCTGGATCCTCGACTCCAACGAACCATTCTATATATAATCAAGGGCACTTGCTAAGTCTACAGAATCATGTTGTGTGGAATGACTGCAACTGATTCTGAAATTTAGCAATGTATATTGAACATCTTTCCCTGCCAAGGAGACCTGCCAAGAAGCCTCATTTCTTTCAAGTACGCACTGTCTTTGTTGTGAATGCAAGGAGTTCCACTTACTCCATTCTTCTCCTGATGAACCTTATCACAAAAGTGCCTTTTTCTGGGCTGTGTATATAGCTCAGAAGGTAGAGTGCTTGCCTTGCATACACAAGGCCCTGGGTTCAATCCCCAGCACCAAAAAAAAAAAAAAAAAAAAAAAAGCCTTTTTCTTATCATGGCCTTGCTATTAAATATGAAATTGGAAAAAAAATAGATAAAGACAAAATGAAACAAACACTGCTTACAGGTAGCAGGGAACCAGGAAGGGACTTTAAGCAGGACACTGATGTAATGAGATTTGTGGAGGGCTTCTTTGCTGTTGTTTTGCTTTTGAGACTCTGTTGCCCAAGCTAGTCTCAAATTCGTGAGATCAAGTGATTCTCCCATCTTAGCCTCCAGAGTAGCTGGACTATGGCATGTGCCACCCAGTTGGGATTTATGTGTTAGAAGACTCACCCTGTCCTCCATGCAAGAAGTGGACAGAAGTGGAGAAGTTGGCAGGAAAGGGACCCATGGAGAGATGGCAGTCCTGAACAATAGGGTAAAGAAAGGCTGCACTGAGGCAATACAAGAGGCGTCTCCCTCCCTGCTAGGGGTGGTAGTAGATGGCTTTGTCATTGCATCACTCTATCTCCCCATCCCCTTCTCATGGAGTCATCTTCTCCAGGGACCAGAAGGAAAGACCCAAGTGGGGAATGGGCTCTCCCACCACTGGGAGTGAGGGTGTGAACCATTTTGGGGCTCCTGTGTGGCAAGAAAGTCCTGTGGCAGCCAGTGAATGACCCACTGTTTGTGAAAGACCCTTCCCCAGAGAAAGGGGGCTGAGTGAGACCACCCAGAGAAGGGACAGAGTACTCCACCCACCTCTGCCTCCCTGGGGCTGATCATTTATAGAATTGTCTTTAGAACCCACATAAGTTGGGAATTATGCCAGGCACGGTGGTGCATGACTGCAATCCCAGTTATTTGGAAGGCTGAGGCAGGAGGATCACAAATTTGAGGCCAGCCTTGGCAAATTAAGGAGACCCTGTTTCAAAGTAAAATAAATAAATAAAAGGGCTGGGGATGTAACCCAATGGTAGAGCGCCCCTGCACTCAATCTCCAATACCACACACACATACACACACAAAAAAAGTTGGGTATCATTGGTTTTGCATTGCACGGGGATGGGGTTGATGGGGAGGGTGGGAAGAACAGATCTGGGAGGTGAGGAGGAGCAGGTGCAGGGGCAGCTGTGAGTGAAAGGTATGAAAACAGGCACCATGTCTTCCTCTGTGGTTAGCTGGTAAACAACCCCAGTGCTGGGGTGGGGGTGCTGATGGAGAGAGGAGGAGGATGGGGAGGAGGGAACTTCCGGAGACATAGTGGGCACACCCCCTTCAGTTAAAACAGGCTCCCTCTCTCCCCTGGGCCTGGTCTGATGCCTCCTTCACTTCCTTCTGCCCCTGGGCTTTCTGTTCCGGGGCTCACCTCGCCTAGAGAGTTTGCTAGGGATAGGCATCTGCCCTCACCAGGCATCTTTCAAGACAAGCCCAGGTGGCGCTGCTCATTGGCTCCAGAGGTAGATAAACATGAGTTCAAACAAACCTGATCTTCAGCAACACTCCTCTAAAAATAAGAGTCATATGGCATGCCTTGAGTTTCTTATGTGGATTAAACTAGATGGAAGGTCGCTGCCACAATTTCAATGATAATRAAGACAGGCAGGAATAGGAGGAGAGATCAAGAAGAAACCAGCAGACCACATCAGTACCCACCCTCCCTCCCTGCCAGTGGGATCCCCAGTTTCAGTGCCCTCTATTCTGTTCAGAATTGGAACAGTTATCTCCTTGTCCCAACTAGATCCAGTCTCCAAATGGCAATCCTGATGCCAGTCCCCCAGCCTGCAGCCTTCCATACACCTAAGGACACATAAATAAAAAATAAGTCACAGGTACACCATCCCTTAGAGTCTACAAAGCATATCCACAGCATATATCCCCTTTCATCCTCATCATCAACCTGTGAGGGATTAATCCCTTTTACAGATGAATAACAGAAATTATAGACCGGGGGGTGTGACTTTGTGGTAGAGTGCTTGCCTAGCATGCATGAGGCCCTAGGTTTCGTCCCCAGCATCATAATAAATAGATAGATAGATAGATAGATAAGATAGATAGATAAGAATTTTAAAAGGAAGTCAGAAATGACAAAATGATTTGTTCAAGGATACTCCAAAGAAAATTAGAATTTCATCAGCAGGACATATGAGAGAATAGGGCCAAAAGCCTCCTGGAGGGATAGAAAACATATACGCATCATTAGGCTTCCTCTGGAAAAATGGAGTCTCAGTTTCTCACCCTTCTGTCTCCTTGTCCTTGCAGTACAAGGAGTTTGCCAACTACAATGACAGCACAGAGACCCCCCTACTGGAAAGTCACTTCTGCTCCACAGTTGAGGGGCCCCTACTGACTTCCTTCAAGGCTGTGTTCATGCCTGTGGCCTACAGCCTCATCTTCCTCCTGGGCCTGATGGGCAACATCCTGGTGCTGGTGATCCTCGAGCGGCACCGGCAGACGCGCAGCTCTACGGAGACCTTCCTGTTCCACCTGGCGGTGGCTGACCTCCTACTAGTCTTCATCCTGCCCTTTGCTATCGCTGAAGGCTCTGTGGGCTGGGTCCTGGGAAGCTCCCTCTGCAAAATTGTGATTGCTCTGCACAAGATCAATTTCTACTGCAGCAGCCTGCTCCTAGCCTGCATCGCTGTGGACCGCTACCTGGCCATCGTTCATGCCGTCCACGCCTACCGTCACCGCCGCCTCCTCTCCATCCACATCACCTGCGCAACCATCTGGCTGGCAGGCTTCCTCTTCGCTTTGCCGGAGATCCTCTTCGCCAAGGTCAGCCAACCCCACAGCAATGACTCCCTGCCACGTTGCACCTTCCCTCAGGAGAACCAAGCTGAAACCAATGCCTGGTTTACCTCCCGCTTCCTCTACCATGTTGGGGGCTTTCTGCTGCCAATGCTGGTAATGGGCTGGTGCTATGTGGGGGTGGTACACAGACTGTGCCAGGCCCAGCGGCGCCCTCAGCGACAGAAAGCAGTCAGAGTGGCCATCCTGGTGACAAGCATCTTCTTTCTCTGCTGGTCACCTTACCACATTGTCATCTTCCTGGACACCCTGGCCAGACTGAAGGCCGTGGACAACAGCTGTGAGCTGAATGGCTCTCTCCCGGTGGCCATCACCATATGCGAGTTCCTGGGCCTGGCCCACTGCTGCCTCAACCCCATGCTCTACACTTTCGCTGGAGTGAAGTTTCGAAGTGACCTGTCTCGACTTCTGACCAAGCTGGGTTGCACTGGCCCTGCTTCCCTGTGCCAGCTCTTCCCTGGCTGGCGCAAGAGCAGTCTGTCTGAGTCAGAGAATGCCACCTCCCTCACCACCTTCTAGGTCCCAGCACCCTGCTTTGTTTCTGCTTTCTTCGGGGCAGGCAGTGGTGGTGGAGTCCCTTCCAACAGGAGCTGGGGTCCTGAGTGTGACATGGGCTACCTCCCAGCAGGGAGGCAGCTTCTGTCTAGGACATCCCTGTCACTCTTCCACCAGCCCTGAGGCTAGGCTGGAGTCCARGGAGGGGAAAGCAGATCAAAAGCAAAGCAAAAGGTCTCTGTACCCATCTGCATCACCCTGGGCTGAGAGGACTCCACACACCTCCCACCCTAGCTGGCCAAAGCCCTGGCCACAGGGAAAGTCAATCCCCTCCCAGAATACTCTCATCCTCTTAAGGGCTGCTGACTGCCACAGATACCCACCTCTCCTCCCATGCCCCATGCCAAGTGGAGCCAGGAGAAGCTGGAACTGGGGATGAGCAGAAATTAAAACTGAGATGGCCAGCTAGTGACAGAGTGTGGCCTTAACAATTCTTAGTTCCTTAATTCGGACATTCTGCCAGATCAACTCTGCAGCTGTCTTGACCAAGCAGGAAGCTCGGACTGATCTTCTTTAGATCACGGACAGTGACCAAAACAGCACTGGGTTGGCCCCATGCCAAGGGGTCCTGGATTACAGAGGACAGACTCCAAGTAGGAAGCTAGCCAGTGTCCTAAGGAACAGCAGAAGGCAAGCCAGCAAAGGAGACTGGTGGAAGAAAGGAAAAACTCCCACGGAAGCCCCCAGAGAGGGACAATCAAAGCCAGCTGTCTTGTCTGCCCCAGGACCAGACAGAGGTGGGTGGAGAGCTCCCAGACTGGGCCAGGGGAGGCAGGATCCAGGGTCCTGGTGAACTCTGGGCACTGATGGAAGGAGGCAGACTCGTTCTTTCCTTGCCACCCTCCTCACAATCAATGGGGCCATGGAAATTGGAGCAGAGGGTCCTGGCCACAGCAGAGGGGACCCTTAGCCATGAGTAAGAATGGAGACAGAGGCCCCCTGGAAAGGTCCTCTGGAGTCATCTCATCCAGCCCCCCACTCCATGGTGTCACCTTAGGCAGGGCAGTGTGAGAAGCAGACCTGGGCAGGGAAGTCCCCAAGCCCCAGGAAGCCATGCCCAGCCCCTCAGAGGATACTAGTCAGATGGAACCAGAGGAAGCTACTCCTCGCTCACTCTGGACTCTCCCTCTCAGCCTCTATCTGGGGTAGAGGATCAGGGACTCCTGCATTTGCTGGGGACCCTCTTGATAGCCCAGTTCCAYTAAAATCAGTCAGGACCACTAGAGGCCTCCATTGGAAATCAGAAGTATGGCCTGGGGGACTGTGCCCTTACCACAGAATGAAGGGGAAGCCCTGGCATCCCCCCTTTTCTCCCAGCATCCAAGAGCAAGCTGGGCAGTGGAGGAGCCAGACACAGAAGCAAAAAGGCAAAAGGTTGGATTCTGAATTTTCTCTTTTTAATAAAAAGGCACCTATAAAACAGGTCAATACAGTACAGGCAGCACAGAGACCCCCAGAACAAGCCTAAAAATTGTTTCAAAATAAAAACCAAGAAGATGTCTTCACATATTGTATTTATATATTTATATTTATATATATATATTTATATAATGGTACAAAATGGCTGGGGGTATGGCCATGGATGGAGGGAAGAAGGCTGACCTGTGGAGTTCACCTTAGGAAGCTAGTGGYGGAGGTGAGAGAAGAGGGGGACCTGGAAGGCCCTGGGCCCTTTGTGGTCCGAGCCCTCTCCTCAGAGCAGGAAACACTTAAAGGAGGATAGTTTTGGGCAGTCTTGGGACAGGGGTGGGGGCTCCAGGGCATAGGGCCCAGGTGGAGGGAGGGTGGGCAGATGGAGGACAGGTGCCCCCCTACCCAATGCAGAGGGCCTGGCCACGGCCCCTGGGARGTGTTAAGGGAGTCAGGAGCCTGCAGCCAGCCCCAGAGAAGGAAGCGGCGCTTGACCTGGCTGATGGTGGACCTAGAGGACAGCACCAGACTGGGAGAAGTGGGCGTGAATTCCCTTTGTGTTACAGCTGCCAAGGCAAGGCCAGGCCTGCAGGTCAGGAAGGCTAAGGACCAGGACCTGGTAGAAGTCACCCTGTCTAGAATGACCCTTGGCCCTGGAGGCAGGGCATAAATGGCCTCAGCCAGGGAACTGCCCTGCCACCTCACAAGGCAGGAAAGGAAGTGAGAAAAGGAGAAGTTTTTTACTCCTGGGACCAAGGGGGGCTAAACACCCAGTCATGTATGGCTTCAGCTCTGACCAGTGGCGGGCAAGGAGCTCTTCTGGGAAAGAGCAGAGGGGGTTGGGAGGCAGTGGCTGCGCCTGGGCAGAGGAACCTTGCCAACAAGTGGGCAGGCAGAGTCAAGGCGGCAGGATGCTCCCCAGCCCCCTCCAATACTTCCCCCATTCCATCCTCAGGGGGTGGAGGCTGGAGGGGAGCAGACTGACTCAGCCAAACCCTGTTCCTTCCTTCTTTGGTAAGAAGTAGGTGGCGGCCTCTGGAAGAGTCAGGGCCCCCCCACCCTGGGTTACCTAGCCCAGGGCTACTGCAGCCATGGGTTCCAGTGGCATCATACCACCTCATCCGTGGCTCCACTCAAGGGGGCCACCAGATACTGCCCCTTCTTCCTTTTCTTCATCCCAGACTGGGGATAAAGGACTTCAAGTTCTGGCTAAGATGTAGCAGCAGGGGCACCCAGACCTCCACAGCAGGAAGCCGGGGCCATGTCACTGGTGTGGGAAAACACGTGCACACGTTTCTCCCTGAATGACTCAGCAGCGGACAGGCTGCCACCCTGGGGTCTCAGCCCTGCTAGGACTCACCAGGTGGAAGCCTCGGTGGTGTGACCTCAGTTTAGGTGTGGGCATCTTGTTGTCTTATTATTTGGAGAGGGGACAGAAATGGTATCCTTTATGGACCCAGAGACACTACAAACGGAGGGGTGGGTGTGTAGGACTGCATGTCCCTGGGTCCAGGGGAATGGAGGGGGCAATCATCTGAAGAAGGGGAAAGGGTTTCTTTTATCCTTTGTTTCTTTTTTTGTGTGACTTCTATCAAAACACAGAAATACAGCACACGCACAAACCAGCACAAAAGCGCAGCGCTCTATTTACAGCTCCGGCTGGCACCTGCCCACCTGGCCAGCCGCCTGCAGAGGGGGTTGGGAGAAGGGGTCAGCCACGTCAGCAGGGAAAGGAAATGAGGCAGGAAAAGACAGAAGGAAAACYGGGAGGAGCAGAGAAACCAAGAGGAGAGAAGTGGAGCTTGGGCAATGAGAAAGCGGCACAAAAAGGGGAGACCCTTCCTCTCCTTCACCTCTCCCCCAAGGACCCAAAGCGTAGTTGAAAGTGGGGGTGGTGCAGAGAAAGAGGGAAAATAGAGGTTCCATAGGAATCGGGAGGGAAGGGAGGGGCAGTCCTGGAGGCAGAAACTGAACAAACCCCAACCCCAAATCCCCCACCCCACTCTGCCACTTCCCCCTAAGCTGCCAGCACATCTGGTTTCCACAAATGCCACTCCCCACACAAGCCCCTTCCCACCCCTCCACCCCAACCCTGGACCCAGGCCATCCCAACACTGGAGGGAAGAAACTTTTTTAAGGTTAGCATATTTGCAATATTGCCCAGCTTCAGCCCCCAAGGGGATGACTAGAAGGGCAGGTTGGCCATGCTGCCCGGCGCTGGGAGGTAGCCCATCTGGCTGTCCAGAGACACACTGCGCTGCCGCAGGGGGTGGGACACCATGAGGTTCTGCTGGGGAGGGGGGCCCATGAGGGAGCCCTGTGGGGAGAGCATATGGGGGGGCTGGCTGTAGACCTCGCCYCCCACACCCCGTTGCTTCATCAGCATGAAATTCTGCTGGGTCATGAGGCCTTGTGGTGGGGACATGACCCCCTGGTGCAGGCCGTGGGGCACCATGCCCTGCTGTGGGGGCACACCTGTCCTTCCCAGCAAGGACATCTGTCCAGGGTGGCACATGGACATGTTGAGCCCCCGTTGGACGCCCTGCTGGCCCGGGAGGTTGGGGGGCCGAGACGGGGTCTGTTCCGCCATCATGTTCTGCAGGTTCATGAGATGCAGATTGGGGGGCTGGGCCTTGGGGGGCTGGTTCTCACTCTTGGGGAAGTACTGGAGGGTGCTGCTTGGCTTCTCAGAGGGGATGATCCTTGACAAGTCGAACTCAGGGATCCCCGTCGGGGTGGGCCGGATCACCTCGCTCAGCTCAGGGTCGTTCAGCACTGATGCCACCCCAGGGAGCACCCCTGGTGGGTATGCGTCTCCCATGCGCCCAGCCATGCCTTTGCCCATTAGATGCTGTTGGGGGGGCATGGGGCCCGGCGGCTGGGTGGGCAGGTCCTCCGGAGGCAGGGGCATGCCTGAAGGGTAGTGCTGCTGCAGGCCAGGTCCCCCGCCCCCACCCCCAGCAGGGGCCATGGCACCATGGGGCTGCTGCAGCCGAGGGGGGAAGGGCATCATTTGGGAGGAGCTGGGCACAGGGCCACAGGGGGCACTCAGGGAGTCTGGGCCCCCTGGAGCCATCATCATTGAGTTTTGGGGAGGCCCTCCTGTCCCCTGTGCATTGGGGTGCAGTGGAATGTTGGAGCCCAGAGGGGTGGGAGAGGGCAACATGGTAGGTGGGGGCTCATGGGACAGGGGCTGCTGGCCTGCCAGGTTCATGCCCATGGGGCTCTGGGCAGCAGCGGAGTTCAGGTGCATCTGGTTGGGCTGGTTGTTGCTGATACCTGTAAGAAAGAGGACAAGGAGGTCAGAACTGTGTGCACCAGCTGGGGGAGACAGAACCAGTCCTTCTCCCCACTCCCCACCTTTTACCACTGGCCAGCTGCCCTTGGTTGCAAGGGAAGGGACTGGGAAAATTTAAGCTAAAAGCCAAGAGCCCAAGATCTGGCCCCATTTGCCATGGACACAGTGTGGGATGCAGAAAAGACCACTTGAGTGCTGTGGGCTGGGTTTCACTGAATGACTACCAGAATGGGAACAGGGCCCCGGACCTCACACCAATGCCTAGAGCCCTGTGGAAGCATGGAGACGCCAGCACGACCACAGGGGCGACTCCCGGCCATGCCCACTCTTCCCACTCCCGGTGGCCCCTGCCTGTCCTCGCACCTGGCCCGGAGCCCTGGGATGGTGGAGGAGGGGGTAGCAGGGGCCGGTCAGGCAGCAGCTCGTCGTCTGAGGTGGCGATGGTCTTGATAGCATTGTGGTAGAGCGGGGTGGAGCTGGGCATGGCGTACTTGGACATCTGGGACATCATCAGTGACAGGGGGTTCTGGGAAGGTGTGGGATCTGGGGAGGAAGTGAATGGTAGGCTGGGGTTCATGAGGCCGCTGGGAGGATTGGCAGGAGGCGCTGAGGAGCTGCTCCGAGGGCCGCTAGGCGGGAGGGCACCTATAGAAGCAGGGAGACAAAGTAAGTGGGGAGTGACTGGGGACGGGAAAGTGAATTTGCTGCTCTTAATAGGGGTTTAGGAAGAGRTCAGCCCACCAAATCTCCACCTAACTTCACCAGGCACAGCTACATCCCACTGAACACAGGCCCCTCACAACCACCACAGCCCACCCATATTCAAAGCAATTCCTGTAGCCTCAGGGCCCCAGGCAGTGGGGAGATCCCAAGTCCCAAGTGTGACCCCTCAAAATGCCTGGGACATGTACATGGTACCTAAGACAAAGTTCAACACCACTACCACCACCTGACCCARCCCATGCCTACCCACCACAGAAGTGCCCAACTGGAGTCCAGTAACCCCGCTGGCCTATCCAGCTGACTCACCCTGTTCCATGTTGCCCAGGGTGGAAGAAGAGTTCATGTTGAGAGGCGGCTGCTTATTCTGGGAGACCCCGGGGCTGGGCATGGCYGTCTTGGGCGAAGCCACCCAGCCTGGAGAAGGCACCGCCATGGAGGGAGACTTGAGCCTGCTTGGTGAGCCGGTGGGTGAACGGACATTGAGGGAGGAGCTGAGGACCTGGGGCGATTTGAGAGGTCCTGGAGGGTTGGCGGAAGGCAAGGGCACCATCTGCGAGGGAGTCTGGGGTGACTTGAGGTTGGCGGAGGGTGAAGTGACCAGGGGTGAGTGCACCTGGCTAAGGGTGGGTGACTTTAGGTGCCCCATGCCCGGCGAGCCCATCTGATTAATACTGATGGTGAGGTCTGAGGGCCGTCTGCCCAGTCCCCGACTGGGGGCTGAATGCACAGACCCAGGAGGAGGATTGGATGCAGGGGGCAGAGGCATGTGGCTGAGCCGAGTGGTACCCACAGTGCCCATGGGCATTGAGCTCTGGTCAGGGCTAAACATGTCTTGGGTGTTGCCCAAGTCCTGGGGCATGGCTTGGTAAGGTGCCTGGCCCCCAGAGAATCCCTGCTGGCCCTGGTTGGGAAACTGTGAAGGCATTAGCATCTTCTGTGGACCGCCCATCATGCCACTGCTATTCTGAGCCCGAACCCGGGCCATCTCCTCAGGACTGAGGCCCTGAGGCCCCATCATGTCCCCAGGACCCCGCATCTTCTGCGACATCAGCATTTGTTGCTGCGGGGTCATCTGCACGTTCAGGTTCATRTTCATGTTCATGTTCACGTTCATGTTCATGTTGAGGTTGCCTGGCCCCATGGGTGGGTCCACCTCCCTCAGCCCAGTCTGCCCCATGGGTGGGCTCAGGAGGCCACGACCTCCACCAAACTCCATGCCCATAGGTGTTCCTGCCAGGCCTTCACCACCAGACATCTGCCCAGGAAACATGGAAGGATCCATCTGTCGGTGTGCTTGCATCATCCGCTCCATCTCCATGCTCTGCCCCATGCCGCTGCTGGCCATACCCAGGGGCCGYTGCATGCCCATTGACCGCTTTTCCAGCAACTGGTGCCGTAGCAGCTCCTCCCTAACCCGAGGGGTCATGAATCGCTCCGCCTCACCCTGCCCACCTGGGTAGGGCACAGCATTCTGGGCAAAATTGCTGGGTCCCCCCATAGGGGGCAAGTCTTCAGTCCAGCCCATGCCTGGCCTCACAGGCCTCTGCATGGCATTCATGGGTACCTCCATGGGCATACTCTGCATGCCCCCAAACCCAGGCACCCGTTGCATCTGGTTGCCTGGGAAACGGGGACCAGGGAAGGGAGGTCCTCCCCGGAGCTGCATGGGATCTTGGACGTCCATGGGCCCCCGCAGCTGTGCGCCCATTCCAGGTGGCCACTGGTCCCCAGGCTTGCTGTGGTAGGGAGGCGGGGGCCCCCTCACCATCATGCCTCCCATGCCCATCATGTCCTGCAGAGGGCGACCCCCATGCAGTCCAATCTGCTCCTCTTTCCGCCGCTTCTCCTCATAGTACTCTTCCTGCAGCTTGCGCCATGCCACTTGCTCAGGCGTCAGGCTATCCTGGCCTAGCCTCTGCATCATCATGTTCATCTGCTGGCCCATGTCCCCTCCTGGGGGGTGCCCAGGCACTTCATGCTCCAGTGGTGGACCCCCGAGGCTCTGTGTCTGTGAAATCATGGACTGCAAGGGTTCCTCATACTTCTTTAGCCCACTAGGAGGGGCTGTGGGTGGCTGCTGGGGGGCAGGCGGGGCTTGTGCTGGTGGGCCCCCCTCACTGGCTGCTCCTGGGGGCCCCTTGAGGAAGGGCTCAGTCTCTCCACTGCGGAGCAGCAGCCGCTCAATGTCTCTCAGCGTCTGCAGGGAACGCTCCCGATGCTCTAGCTGCTCTTTGGACAGGCCCTCGGAGCCCACCAGGCTGCGCTGCCCATTGCCGGTGGGTGCAGCCTCCCCCAGCAGGGTGGGGCCAGGGGCACTGCTGGGGTCTCCTCCGGGAGGCAGAGGGTTGTTTGTGGTGGCAGCAGTCGGGGTGTTAGGGTGGGTGCCCCCAGTCCCACCACCTGTGCTGGCAGCTCCCACCGAGTTGGGGGCCAAGTCCTGACTGGTGTCCTCAGGAGGTCCCTCCGGGGGCAGAGCAGGTGGGGCACTGCCAGGGGCTGGGGGTGGTGGCGGCGGCAGTGGAGGTGGCTGGGACTGTGGGGTACCTGCTGACGGTGTGCTCAAGGGCAGCGGTTCTGGGGTGGGTGGCACTTTGGGGGCCTGCAGGTGGACAAAAGCAGAGTGTAAGATAGGTAAGGGACATCCTAATCAATCTCATAGCCAAACCCGGCACCACACTCACCTGGTCAAGCTTGGCCCGGGGCACATTCTGCTGGTGGTAGGCAAGGATGGAGTCTGCCCGGCCCTGCAACACCGCCTCTGCAGCCCTGCAGCAGAGAACCAGGCACGGTCAGCTCAGAGAGGTGGGTAGGAGGGAGCCCCCCACCTCACCCAGCCTACCCTGCCCCCCTGTACACGCTCACTTGGAACCCCAGGCTGAGGGGCACTGGGCAGACACAGCAGACCTGGTCTCCCCTGAGGCACTTACGTGTTGGCCAGATGTGTGGTGAAGACATACACGAACTGCGAGGGAGGCTTTCCAGGGACACCCCCGCCCCCACCCCCGGGGGCATCAGGACGAAGGCCTGGTGGGGGGCCATGTGGAGGGCCTGGCGCGCTGCTCTCGTTGAGGGGCAGTTGGGCAGTTTGGCCGGGACCCAGCTGTGGGGCCGCCATGGCTGGGTCTGCTACATTACAATCTGCAAAAAGAGAGAGGAGAGGAAAGGGGTGAGTGTCCCAGATGCAAGGAGAACCAGCTGGCATCTCCWGCCCAGGAAGCCCACTGCCTCCCAGTGCCTTTCTGAGGGTCCTTTGTTCCTGCAGTCTGGTATATTCACCAATCTTGTTTGCCCAAGCTCAGTCCTTGCCCAGGATGGCAAGAGTGGCGTCCACAGGGAGAGGAGGGAGAGGGAAAACGTGGCCCTTACCAATAGGCTCCCACATGCCTGGTGTTCTGGATACTTACAGTTGTGATTTCATGTAATCGACACACCTTTGGAAGGAATGCATCACACTCCAGGTTACAGAGGAAGAAACAAGCCTGGCAGGGATGAACTGACTCACCTAAGGTCACACACCCAGCTAATGCGGAGCCAGGATTTGAACCCAGGGTAGGCATACCAAAGTCCTCCTTAGCTGTTCTGACCCTTCCTGCTGTGGTCTGTGTGTGTGTGTGTCTATGTACTGTCTAGTAACTCAGGCACAGAGAAAGTAGTTTCATGAATTGATGATTCAATGATTCATCCTAGCCCCACCACTAACTGACTTGGTGATTTATGAACAAGACATGTTCTCCCTCTAAGCCTCAGCTTCTTCATCTACACAATGGGAACACTATTTTACCAGCCTGTACAAGGGATAGATCAAAGAAATATATTTACTATGGCACAAGTAAAAAAAAAAAAAAATCCATTTGAAAAATGGAGAAGGTTAGAAAGGCTATGTAGAAAAATAAACTATTTTCCCTCTCCTCTCACAAAACAGTAAATGCAGACTTCTGGTCACCAAGAATTATGTGGGGATTTCTCCCCACCAACAACCAATCAATCAATTCTGCAGGAGCAGACTCCAGCTGGGTGGCCTCTAGTTCATTTCAATTCTAACATTATCTACCTGCAATAGCATTTAATTGAACAAGTTAAAGGCTCCAGCCCACAATACCAATACCACCACCACCACCACCACCTCTTCCCCCACCTGATTCCAATGCCAAGCCAACTGCAAGCCCTGAGTTGTCTATCTCTGAATGACCTACAAACTGGCGTTCCCATGACCCACTCCTGAGATTCTACTAATCTGCTAAAGCAGCTCACAGAACTCAGGGAAACATTTTACTTCCCTTTACTGGTTTATATCATAAAAGACATTACAAAAGGAGACAGATGAAGAACTGCAGAGGGCAAGGTATGAGGGAAGGGGTGCACAGCTTCCACCCTCTTTCCACAGGTGCAAACTTCCAGGAACCACCGAGTTATATAACTATATAATACTATATAATATACCAAAGCGGCCACGGGTGGTCAGCTCAACCCTCAGTCTCCCCTGCCCAGCAGGTTAGAGAATGGGACAGAGAGTCCAATCCTGTCTTGGTCTGTCTAGAGACCAGTCCCCATGCAGAAGCTATCTAAGAGCTGCCAGCCACCAGTGAACTAATTAGCATATAAAAACACACATCACTGTGGAGATTCCAAAGATTTGAGGAGTTGTATGCCAGGAAATAGGGCAAGATCAAATACATATTTCATAATATCACGGGCTGACACACTGGGAACACTCCCAGAATAGAACCGCTACTCTCAGCACCAAAAGTTCTATTCCATAGCCACAAACTTGACTCTCAGTCCTAGCCTACAAAAGATCCACAATTGGATATCAATGGGTCTAGGTAAGTGGGTGGACCCATTCCCATGCCAAGATAAACCAGTCAAAGGCCCTGGCCTGCAGACAATAACAGTACTGTCAGGTAACACAAGACCACCGCCTAAAGCTGCCTCCCTGTGCCAGGCTAGGGGCACCCTCCGACAGCTCATCATCAGGATCGCTTCTTGGATAAACCTCGGAATGACCCACCACATATTGGCTCTGCTCTGGACCCTGTTTCCCCAATTTCACATAGAAAAGCAGAACCAGAAGTTTGTCCTGGGGGAGACCTGAGAACAGACCTCAATGCATGAGGGCTGCCCTGGGAAGTAGACAATATAAACTCRGCATGCATAACAGGCTCCTGGCTACAAGGCATAGGGAAGGAGTCAGAGTTTATATCAATAAGAAACTTTCTAGTACAACAATAAAAATACAAGTTAATGCTGTTCTAAGTGTGTTACATGTATGAACTTACTCCTCTTACCTCTTATCTTTGAGATAAAGATTATTATTTTGGTGGGGGGTACTGGGAATTGAACTCAGGGGCACTCAAACATTGAGCCACATCCCCAGCCCTATTTTGTGTTTTATTTAGAGACAGAGTCTCACTGAGTTGCCTAGCACCCTGCTTTTGCTGAGGCTGCCTTTGAACTTGCAATCCTCCTGCCTCAGCTTYCCAAGCTGGGATTACAGACATATGCCACCACACTGGGCAAAGATTATAGAGGAGAAACTGAGGTCCTTTCCCAAAATTTATACAAATAACAAGTGGTTGGGCTGGGGTTGTGGCTCAGCAGTAGAGCATTCACCTAGCACGTTCACCTAGCGTGTTCAAGGCTCAGGGTTTGATCCTCAGCACTACATAAAAATAATAAAGGTATTGTGTCCAACTACAATAAAAAATAAATATTAAAAAAAAAAGTGGAGACTCTAGGATGCAACCTAGGCAGTCTGATCTCTGACCTTATGCTATTAATGTCAGCACTGTTCTGCCCCTCCATTACGAACTCTTCAAGAATCCAATAGCATTAAAACTAAAATAATCATTGTGGTTTGGTATGGAATTTTAGTATAATTTCTTTGCGCCTACCTATATTTTCCAAAGTTTCTACAAGGTGTAGTCTAATATTACAAAAGTGAATGAGAAGTGTGGGAGGGGTCCTCTCCTAGGAAGCAGTGAAGGTTCTACCATTGAAGGATTTAGCCAGAGGCCAAGGGCCACCAGGCAGTCCCACGTGAGAGAGGGGACCTGGGACTAGATGGTCTTTGAAATCCCAGCCAGCGTTTGTTTTCCCTCCCCAACATGGTGCAATCATTCCACATTTGCCGTTTCCTCCTCTGCAATAAGGATGTAAGGATTAAATGAAGTGGCCAGTATGTTTTTTCTTTCTCCTTTCTATGGTCCCTAACTTCAAGAAGTTCACAACTTAACATTCTCTGATGTTTCTTTATTTCTATTTTTTTCTTTTAGTTTTTTTTTTTTTTTTTTTTTTTTTGGTACTGGGGATTGAACCCAGGGTGCTTAACACTGTCTACATCCCTAGGCCCTTTTTTCTTTTTAAATATTTTTTTTAGATGTTGATGGACCTTTATTTATTTATTTGCAGTGCTGACAATCGAACTCAGTGCCTCACCCATGCCAGGCAAGTGTGTTACCACTAAGCCACAACCCCAGCCCCCCAGACCCTTTTTCATATTTTATTTTGGACAGGATCTCGCTAAGTTGCTGAGGCTGTCCTCGAACTTGTGATCCTCCTGCCTCTGTCTTCCAAGTCACTAGGATTACAGGTGTGTGGCATCATCCCCAGCTTCTGGCTAGTTTCTTATGCATTAAGTTGCCCCCAACCCCATAAAAAAAAAAAAAAAAAAGATGTAAATTTTGAAGGAAAAGCACCAAATAAATTAATGCAGGCTTCCTAAGATCAGTGGCTGTGCCCGTTCTCCCCATTACTCACGAAGGCCCAGGTATACATTGATCGATAAAAGAACATGAGGAGTGGGCATCTATCCACAACCACCACTCCTCTTCCTAGTAACACACCCCAGGTACTTGCTGGAGTCAGTCAGAGGTTAGGGAAGGGCATCAGAGATCCAGCCAAGTGTCAACTCACATCCAGGCTTAACACTGCTTTGCACAGCAGATCCAACTTGTCCAAACTCCCAGTGAGGTTCGAGCCTCACCTCTCTCTGCTGACCAGTAGATGGCAGCATAGGCCAGGAATTCATGGTAAAGGTTCAGGTGAGTTGGACAAGAAAGTAGCCACCTAAGAGAGCCCCACCCCACAGGGGTCCCTAAGGAGAGACAGCCACTGAGCGCAGGGAAGGTAGAGGCTAGACTATCACAGTTCAGGAGACAGTCTAAGAGGTAGATAGGAGAGAGGAAGCCTGGAATCCTAGCTCTTGATATTTTTTCCCAGACTCAAGTAGGAGGCTTCCTTAGGGCAGCCATCCCTGGGGAAACCATGAGCCACAGCATCATGGCATCAATGGACACTCACTGTGGGTGGCCCCAATGGGCTTGTCATCCTCTTCACTGTCAGGTCCAGAGCACCATTCGTCCCCACTGTATGGCTGCTTCCGCTCCAGGACACAGCGCCGCTTACTCCGGGGTGCCACTTCTGCTCAGGCAGGATGCAGGCAGGCAGGGGTAAGACTGAATGCCCAGAGGTCCTGTTCTCCCCAACCCAGGGTCCCTCCCAAGCCCGTTCTCCAGATGCCACACCCCAGAGGGCACTGCCCAGACCATGGTGGGCACTTTGCCAGTTCATAGCCCCCACYACACCACCATTTGTTTCTGATTTCTGTCTCCAGCCCCAGCTGCCTGTCTCCCCTCCCCCCCCAACACCAAGCACAGCATAATCCCCAACCACAACTGGTTCTAATTAGGGCTGGGGGGGAGGGGGAAGCTGTATCCACCCTTCCAGGCCCCAGTGCCTGTTCCCAAACAGTTCTCACTAGCCAGGAGCCAGGCGACCAGGAGGTTTGGGGAGGTGTGTGGGTCTGTGGTGGGAAGGCAGGACAGAATGAGACCAGAAGCCCATCATTCTGTGTGGCCCTTCCACGGGTGGGATGGGGATAAGGGAAAGGTGCCAGTACGTAAATACTAGAGAGACATGGGATGAGGATTAGGCAAACGGGCAGAGAGATGGTCTCCTGGCCAATTTAGGCTTGGATTAGATGTTGCAAAGGTTTTGAGGATAATGAAATGAGGTACCTTTGGCCTCTGAATCCAGGGATGGGGTCCCAGCCTCCCGCTGCTCTCCAGAGTCCACAGACACGCTCCGCTCCCGCTTCACCTTGCCCTTGTGCGAGCTGAAAGAGGGCACCCCTGCTTGGGGGTTCTTCAGACTTGAGTTGCTAGGTGAGATCTGGTTGGCTTTGGCCCCATGGCTCCCCGCCCCCACGCCCTTCGAGCCCAGGTTGCAGGTGGGTCCTTGGTTCACATTCTGGTGCTGGGATTGGGCCCCGCCATTCCCTGTCTTGCCATGATTGGTCAATTTATTTTCTGGGTGCATTGGCTTGGCTGGGGCAGGGGGGCAGTGGCCGCGGGGAGACAGCGGCGGGCTCCCTGGAGCTTCTCTCCTCCTGGGGTGGGGTAACCTGGGAGAAGGTAGGAGAGATGTGAAATGTTAACCTTACTAGGGACTAGGTATGCCTGGATTTTAATTGTCCCATCCTGTCTTAATTAATGGTGGATATGGGGGGATGAGTAGCATCTCAAGACCACCAGCTATTCCCTATCTCCCTCCATGGACCCTCAGACAAGAGTTGATGCCCTTGCCCACCTTGGGGAAGGGAGATGGGGCAACCTCCCCACAGCTCCCACAATTCAAATGAAAACCAGGGTCTGCAGTTGACAGAAATTGCCCACTACAGGCCCAGTATCCATCAGACTGCAAACTTCTCTGGCAAACCTGTCCCCCAGCTCCTAACCAATACTTTGGCACCCTCTCTTCTAGGGTTTATTGTCTTCAGATTCTTTCTGAGGTCCCAAACCTCAAYTCCCATGTGTCCCAACACAGGCAGAGAAGGAACACAGGACCTGTGCGGCACTGCTCATGTCCCAGCCCCACTCCCCTGGGGAGGTAGGGAAAGCACAATTGAGAGTGGTACCCACTGGTCCAGACAGCTCCCCAGAACAAGAGGGGAAGACCTGAAGAGGGTGGGCCGGCAGGCCTGGCGGGCAGGCAGGAGCAGGAGGGGGGAGGGGAGCAGCGTGTCAAGCAGACGGGAGTGCAGCTTGAAGCCAAGGATTCCTGCAGCCTAGGCTGCGGGCCCTTTAAGCTCCAGCCCGCTCCCCCCACCGCCTCCCCCTCCCCGGAGACCTATTAATAGCCGCTGGAAAGATCACATCACGGGAGAGGATATTTATCCCCCCTCATTCCACACCAGCTCAGATTTATTTCAGCTCTGCTGTCCTGCTGCTGCCGCCTGGCCCTGTCTGCCGGCTTCTCCAGGAGAGGAGGAGGGAGGCAGGCACCACCCCCACTCCAGCCTCCACCCCCAGCTAGACTGAGGCCAGGGGGCGCCATCGGACCCCACAGTAGGGTGGATGGGGGTCTGCTCTAACCGTTTTTGGAGGGAAGAGCTAGAAGGGACCAGAAGCAGCAGGCATAGCTGGCTGCCAGTCCCCGCTGTCCCCTGGGCCTGGGTGCTAAGGTTGACAGCGGCTCCTGCCTGGGGCTAGGCCTTCTTCCCACTCCACCCCGGCTGTAGTCCACTGGTGGCTCGGGAGCCAGGTGTCCAGGTGGACTTGCTCCCCAAACCAACACAGCTCGGTCCCATCACCACTGGACCCTTCCCTTCCCCGCTCTCCACACACACATCCCGCCCTCCACGTCACCCACACACCTTGTCTTGTTAGCCAGGATCCTCATGGCTCCCACACACAGTGGGGCTACGGCCCCTGTGCGTGCCCAGGGCCCAGCCAGGTACTCGGTACTGGAGCACGGACTGCAGCAACAAGCCCCAAAGAGAAAACTTGTGACTTGGGGAGGGGGTATGAGAGGGGGAGGGGAGAAGGGAGGACCCAATAGCCCTGAGACTAGGGAACTGGATAAGGTAGGGTGGGACTGGAAAAGGAAGACTACGAGATCGGGTCACGATCCTCAGGACCAGGCCTAACCCCATCCCTCCCGCACCTTGCCCTCAGGGAGCTTGCAGTCTCCAGCAAGCCACCCTGGCCCCCCACGGGCTGCAGACGCAGAATTCACTAAAAGGCTAGGTTGCAAAGGTGCCGCGTGGGGCGGCCGCGAGGTCTGCTCAGGGCCCCTGGGGGACTCCCGCTCCCTGACACGCCCCTCACCCTAGGCTCGGGAATCCCTCACGCCCCGCCCCAACGCTGCGCCCAGTCCCTGGGCGCTCCAGCCGCCAAGGGGCCCGGGGTGGGGGGCAATGCCCCGCCCCCAGCTCGAGGCCTAGACCGTGCCCATCCCAGCAGGCCCGGGCGGGCAGCGAGAGGCCTGGCGGGGCCCCGGGGCTGCAGCTGGGCTCTTCTGGAGACCAGTAACGCTGGCTCAGATTCCTCCCCGACCGCAAGAATGCAGGAGCCTCCCCTCCCCCCGCCCTGCACCCCCACCCCGCCCCCTTCGGCAGAGCCCCAGCGGAGAGGCAGAGCGAGCGAGCGACATAGCCAGCGAGGCAGCGAGCAGGGAGCAGGGAGCAGGAGGAGGACAGGGCTGCAGCGTGGTTCTTCGCGGTCCGCGCGCGCGCGGACAGACACACGGACGAGTCCCGCGAGGGGCTTTGCGCGCGCCGGCCGGCGGCGGGCCCTTGGCGCCGTGGGGCTGGGGCTCAGAGACCCACAAGTACCCGAACTCTGACTCACACTCTCACAGCTCACACGTGGACAGGGAGACAAAGACACGCACGGAGCCCAGGAAACTAGAGGCGCGCTCACGGCCAGCCTGTGGAAGTATGCGGGAGGCCCCAGCAGCGCTGCTGGGACAGGGGCCACCGACCGCTGTGGAGCGCACAGACACCCGGGCCGCCAGCGAGCCGAGTGGGAGCTCAAGGACTCATTCAGCAGATGAGAAGACTGAGGCCCCGCTAAGAGGGAGCCATAGAAAGTTGAGCTTTACAGTCACAAAGAAACACACAGGGCCATAGATACACCAACAAACAGACTTAGACAAACACAGACGCCTCACCCAACCACCCCCTGCTCGGTCCCCTCCCCCTCCTTCAGCAGCAGATCCCGGTAAAAGGTGGGGGAGGGAAGGGGAGGAGTCTTGGCCTCAGGAGCGTCGTCCGGTGACAGGCCCGACCAGACACACCCGTGCACACTCCCGMAGCTCCCTGTGTGGCTGCGGGAGCCTAGTCTGGGACCTCGGGTGGAGGGGGCCCCACCCGCCACCCTGTGGGAGTCTAACCCTAACTTCACCCAAGAACACATAGACTTTCCCCACTCCAGCYGTGCCTCTAGAGAGAAAGGCTCCTCAGGGAAGGTTCCAAAGTCCATAGCCGGGCTGGGAAGAAAACCCACCCCCACCCTGGCGCCTAAGCCCCCATCAAAACAGTGAAAAGCAGAGGCAGAAGTCACTGGAGACACCTGGGCTTAGGGATGGGCCTATGGTTGAAAGGTATTCCAGGCTCTCACCTCACCCCCTGGTAGATTTTTGAAACTACCCCCATTTCACAATGAGGAAACTGAGGTCTGGGGTAAGGAAATGATTTGCTTTGGGTTCAGGTGACAGCATTGGTACAGGACCTCAGGCACTGCTTTGTCACCTGGGAGCCATGACTGTTCATCTGAGCCTACACCAGATAAGYAGACTTCCTACATTCCAGTTGCTGTGTCCCATCCAGTGTAAGGGGGTCAGGGTAAGGCAAAGGCCACCCACTAACTTCTGTTAACAACCTCAAAATTTGGGAACCTGTAATATTTGTAGAGGAGCTKGTAGAAAATTAGTCCTCTCCAGTGGCCCCAGTGAGGCTAAGGCTCCTCTCCAGAAGATTCTTTGAGTTGCCCTCTCCTCTAGGCCTCCACTCCCTGCTCCCACCCAGCCCCAGCTGAGTCAAGCACGGATGAGTCAGGACTTTCCCATCTCACACCTCCCCCCTCAACCCCTCAGGAGTTGGCCCCAGCTCCCAAGGACCCCCWCCTCCTTCACACAGTCCCAGAAGACACTGGGAAGACCTGGCCAGGGAAGGCAGGAGAGCTGATTCCTGGTGGGAGGTTTTTAAACAATGAAGGGGCCTTCCTAGCAGTAGGTCTGGAGCCCCTAAACAGTGAAAAGAAAGGAAGGGAACTCTGGAAACTTTTGGGCAATAGGTGGAGGGAGGCGACATGTGCTCACAAACAGGGAGCAGGTGCAAGTCACCTGAGTGAAAGGCCAGTAGCATACCCAGAAGAATGTGCCTCGAGGCAAGATGGCTGAGAAAGCCTAAGATCACTGCCCTGGCTGTATAACTAGAGGGTGCGAGCCAGCTGCCTAAGGGTCAAAATGGGCCTGACCCCAGGTAGAGGAGAGAAACCAGGAAGGCTCAGTGCCCAGAACCTCCAGGTGGATAGACTGCTAAAGGCAGGGCAGGCATTCACACACCAGCGGGAAATTGCTTGGTTGACCAACTGGCTTACAGGTCAGGGTCAGTCACATTGCCCTGCTGGAAATCACCCTCAGGCTGGAGATGCCCCTCACTGAGAAGTTAGAGCACTTGATCAGCATGCCCAAGGCCTAGATTCCATCCTCAGCATCACAGGGGTGGGGGGGGAACACCCCAAAGAAGCAACCAGAAAATGCTTTGAAGGGACCATGTACCCACACAAAGTGTGAAGGCACCTCTATAAGAGGAAAATGAGCAGCTAGGAACCCCATGAAGGGAAGAAGGATAGGGCCCTACTGAGGGTAACTGGGATCAGATCCTTGGCCTCTGGCTCAAGGAGATACAGCCCCCAAGACAAGTCCCCAAGTCTCCTTTCTCTTGGGTGTCAGGACTCCCTGGTCCTTAGACCTCTCCTCTACCACTCAGGTCACTTCCTCTTCCTGAGGTGGTGACTCAGCGGGGTGGGGAGGTCAAGGATTCATAGCCCAGCAGGAAATCTGCTCAAGGACCAAGGTGTTGCTCAGGGACCCTCTATATGGGGACTTCCAGGCTCTGAGGGTCTTCCCCTGGCTCTGGTTCCTTGCAACTTTCCCCATTTCCCCCCACACCGAGCTAAAGGAGACCATGCAAATCAACCATTTTTGCTTGGGAGGTTTTGCCTGGGAGTTTCCAGCCCCACTCCACCTATAGCCCCAGGGTAAGGTCAGGCAACTCTAACCCTGCAGAACCAAGGAAACTCCTGGTCCTAGACCTCTCCAGTCTGGGATCTTTGAACACAGTGCCTGGGGGAAGGCAGTTCTGCCCAAACTGGTCCACTGTCCCTTCTGGAGCCTGCAGGGACAAGTGGCATTGCCTGGACAGGCCTGAGGTCACCTCACTTCTCTTGGCTCCTTCAACCATTACCAGTGTAGCCAGGCCTGGGGAAGTAATCATGCCCTGGCAGAGGGGTGCCCCCAAAGACTGCTGCCCAATCCCTGGCTGTTCCTCCCCTTGAGGGGAGGGGTGGGGAGAGGGTGGGGGGCACAAGGAAACAAGACAGGGCAGGAAGCCCAGGCAGGCAGCGGGCACTCTGGGCCAGGCACAAACAGCCAACACAGGAAACCACAGCCCACCCCCGCCCACCCCACCCGCCCAAGGCTTTGGGAGAGAGGAGTGCCAAAAGCCTGGTACCCCAACAGAGGCCAGGGCCAGGGGTTAACCCGGGGCAAGAGTAGTGTGCTAGGCTCTCTGTCACTCTCTCCGTCCCAGACCCTACCTGGGGAGGGGGAGAAGAAGCCCAGCTGGCAGGGATGGTGCTGCCTCTTTAAATCCACCGAAATCCTGAGCTAGGCCCAACCCAGCTCTGGTTTCACAGGAAGGAAAGGAGCTCAGGAGCCAGTAGGGCAGGCGGTGGTAGCTGGAATTAGCCCCACCGGGCCCAAATATATCTGGTCTCTGCCTGCCACCCCATTGGCACTTCCTGCCCCCTGGCACCTGTACTAAATTGGGGGTGGGAGAGGGTCTAGGTGCTACTTCTACTCTGTGGGGGACCTGTATCTCAGGAGGTGGCCTCTTGTATGGTACACGTGGGTAGGAGGTGACTTCACAAGCCTGGATTCTCAGAACAGGGAGAGAAGAGCAGGGACGCTCCCTGTGGCCATCACCTGGCTTCAGTCCTCCAAGGGGTTAATCTGGCTCCTGTTTAGGGGGGTAGGGGTGGCCGAGGAACCTCCTCCAAACTGCCTGGCTGCTTGGAACAATGGAGCCATTGTGGGAGGAGTGGAGTGCGGGCAGGCTGCTGGCACAGCCAGCACACCATGGGGCGGGACCTCACCCAACGCCTGCCTGCCTGCCTGCCTGCCGGGCTCTGCTCTCTCCCCCAGGTACACATCCTTCCAGCACCCTCACCTTGCCTGCCTGGCCTAAACTCTTGGCACCAGCAGCACCTAGAGGGCTATTGAGTTCTGCCCACGTTGACATCCAGACTGCCATGACCCTCCAGGAAGCAGGGGCATGTGGGCCAGGACAGGGTGGGGGTGGGGTGATGAGACAGGATGTATGCCTGTGATCCTCCTGCAGGGGAGACAGGAAGGCCAAATGGGGTTTCTGGTGTCAGTCCTGGCACCCTCAGGCAAGAAGGGCTTTAGGGGATTGTAAGAACAGAGTCAGGCAGGGTCCCCTGCCCCCAGGCCTCCTTTTCCACACTCATTCCATAAACCTGTACTCTGAGGTAGACTAGTGGCCCCCACAGCCTGGGATCCTGGTAGGCACCATGGTATAGTGGAATATGAACTGGCTTTGCAGTCAGGCAGACAGGGGCCAATCACACTCCATCCCTTCTGAGCTATGAGACCCTATCCATACCTTCATCCCTCCAAGCCTCATCTACAAAATGCGGATGAGTGTGTGAGTATGTGAGTGTGTGTGTGCTGGTTGCTGGGGATCAAACCTAGGGCCTCATACATGCTAAGCAAACACTCTACCACTGAGCTACATTCCCAACTCTCAAATGAAGATAAGTTTACAGAGTGAGATACAGTAGTGGAACTAACTAATAAAATAACTAAGATTCACTCAGAATCTCCTCTGACCATCAGGAGATGGTCTTTAATTTTTTAATTTTAGTTTTAATTTAATCTCTTGCAATAGCACCCAAATACATGGGCATGTGGTAAAAGTAGGCATTTTCAAGATATTTGCCCTTCTAGTATCCAAGTCAGCAAGGCCCATGAGCATCATATTAGTGTTACCGAGTACAAAGACTCAGCTTTTCCTCTGGTCTCCTTGAGGAGGCCAGCTCCCTCTGCTACCATGCCCCTGGGCACCCCTAGGCTCACTGACATACTCAAACCCAAAGCAGGAACCCAGAGAGCAGTTGTGCACTCTCTTAGCTTCAGGTTTGTGTCTAAAACCCCAGGAGGCAAGTGAAGGGGATTTCCCTTCCACAATGACCAGCATCCCCTCCATCAAACACCCCTCTCCCTGCCTGACCCCTTGGTAATCCCCCTGCAGTGTTGGGCTGGGAGGAAATATGGCCTATTCACTCACCATGGGCTTCTTTAAAGAGTGGAGGGCCTGAGAGAAAGAAAAGGGCAATTGACAAGCAGTTCTGGAAACTGGGAGATCCAGGAAAAAGACCTGTTCTCTTCTAAGCTAGAGAGAGCTATACCTCTCAGGGTGGCCCCACAAGCTCCCAAAGGGTTAACAAGTCCCTAAAAATAACCTGCTCCCAGCAGGACCCGCTGATCAGAACCCTCCAGCCATCTGTTCCCATTTTCTCCTGTTCACATTGGAACATCTGAAACCAGCCCCAGAGCCCCAGCCCAATCCCAAAAATAGCCCCAGCCTGCCCAAGGAACAGGCCCCAGAGGCTGGGCACTGAAGGCATGGCCAGCCCAGCAGTGAGGCATGGCCCGTGCAGACAGTGATCTCTGACCACCCCCCACGCCTGGCTCATAGAAGAAGGAGATCCTCTCTGTTCCAGAAAGAAGAAGGGAGCATAGCCAGGGGCTCTGGCTTATCTCTCTTGGTGCCAGACCAGAGAGGGCACCAGCCAGCAAACCTAGGCCTCAGACCCAGGTGCCTTGGTATCCCAGGCACTTCTGCCACATTAATCCCTAGATTTCCACCCATCTTTTTACATAGCTCCCCTTGTTGTGAGTGACACTATCTACTCCAGGGCTCCTCAAGCAGAAGTTCCCAAGCCTCAGTCCGTCCACTACCCATTCCCATCCCAAGGTCTTTGGGAGCTCTGGGCACCCAGTGGCATTCTTTGCTCCAGGGCATACAGGCTAAGACAGAACTAAATAACTTACTTTCTTTCTCTTTCTCTTTTGTTGCAGTGCTGGGGATCAAACCCAAGGCCTTACATGTGCTAAGCAATGCTCTACCACTGAGCTACAACCTCCAGCCCCAAAGCAGGACTCTCTCCAGCACGGCCCACACTCCCCCACACAGCCCTGGGAGAATTTCTGGACACCATGGATGCTGATGACTCTGCTGCTCTCTGGACCTAAGGATACACTTGACCCTCTGCAGCCAGCAGGTGCCAGGCATGCCCACTTGGGCTTCTCTATGCACACAGGCCCAGGCATTGCCCCTCCACACTCAAGAAAAAGAAAAATGCCCAGACAGGGAATCCAGGGAACCCTGAGACCTGAGGCAGGCCTAACAACCACCATCCATAGCATAGCTCCACACTACCACTCTCCACTCTTCTCCCCAAGGAAGGTCCCTGACCCCTAGGCCAGGAAGGAGAGGAGGCAGCCATTGAAGTCATTTAAGGACTGAGTGTCTTGTTCAGCCAGATGAAAGAACAGAGCAGCAGGGGATGGATGGTGGGAGGGGTGCTGAAGCTGAACGGAGGAAACAGCCTGGGGGAGGGAGGGCTCAGCCCTGAAAAGTGTGGGGAGGTAGGGAGAAAGTCCATAGCTCCCTATCCTTCTCCAGGTCTCCTGGCCATCTGGAAACCTTGCAATCAAGGTGTCATCTGACATCAACAGTGGGGAAACTGAGGCAGCAAGAAGTTGGGTCTGGAATGGTATTAGAGTTGAGGACTCAGGAGTGCTGGAAAGTGCTGGAGGCCCATGCTCCAGCCTTCCCCTGCTAAAGCCCCTGGGAAGGTCAAGAGCTCCTGTGAAGAGTCTGGCAAATAACAAGGAGGGGGATCCCAAACATTTACTGAGCCTTTACTCAAGTCCTTCACTTGCCTTGTATAACTGAATCCTCAGAACAACTAGTAAAAAGTACTTATTAGTATCACTATTATTATTGTTATTACTACTACTACTAGGGAGACAGAGGCTTATTATGTTACCCAGGCTACTCTCAAACCTCTAGTCTCAAGGGATCCTTTTGTCTCAGCCTCTGAAGTAGTTGGGACGAAAAGCACAGGCCCCAATGCCTGGAACTTTTATCATTCATATCTTACAGGTAAGAAAAGGGAGGAACAGGAAATTAGGAAGCTTGCCCAAGACATACAGCCCATAGTCAGAAGAGCTAGATGAACTTGGCAACTGGGTTCTTAACCAATGCACAATGCAGATGTGCCATGGTATCAGTCCTCCTGCTGCGATGGAAATGAGTGTTCCAGTCTCTCATCCTCATCCCACACACCCTCCCTCCGTTCCCGATGAGTCCAGGTCCAGCACTGGAGGTCACAGTTCCTGCCAGGAGAGGAGATCAAAGAAGCACTGTGCCTCACCCCCTCTACACAGGTGCCCTGCCTGGCCTAAGCTACCAGAGAGCAAAGTTCTTGGTACTAGCAGCAGCCCCGCCCACTCCAATCCGTTACCTCCTCACCCATCCAGGTCCCTAACAGTCAGCAAGGTCAAAAGGCAAATTTCCAGGTCAACAGAACAGAGTCCCTGCTGAGAGATGCCCTAGGCTAGAATGGAGTCTGAGGTCCCTCTCAAACCCCAGGTGAGGGTCAAAGGTCAAGTTTGACCTGCCAGGGAAGGGTGGAGTTCAAGCCCTGCTCCCCACCCACCTGCTCAGCCACACCTGTCCACTGATCCCCATTTTTTCATGGCCTGAGTTGAAAGCAAGTCCACTTCCTCCCTGTTCCATGGGGTAGTGGCCTCCAGCAGGGAAGGGGCCATTAGGTGAACGGACTAGAAGCCTCTCCTTCCTGAGGTTGGTCCAGGAGAAGCACCTCCTTATCCCTGGCTTCCTTTAGCTTTCCCTAGTCCAACAGGAGCCCACAGGAGTGTTTGTTATGAATTCAGGGAGTTGTTGCTAAGTAAGGAAGAAGGGGAGGGAGGGAGGCTGAGAGAGAGAGAGAAAAAAAAACTGTGTGTGTGTGTGTGTGTGTGTGTGTGTGTGCACACGCACGCACGAACACATGCTTGTGCTTGTATATGTGAGGTGCACCTATAGGGCCTGGGCAGCAGAAATCACACTGGGGTGGCTGGCAGTTTGACTGAGCCAGGAGAGGCCAAAGCCAGGGAGCGGGAAATCTACCTTGTCCTCCAGGGGGGCTGGGATGACTCTCCCACTTTCCCAGGGAAAGATGCAGCTTGGAATAGCACTGGCCCTTCACTGGAGTCCAGCTTTAACCCTTCCTGTCCCAGCCCTGCCCCCAATCCCTCCCAGTCCTAAGTTGAAGGCTATTTGCCCAATAGGAGCTAGAAAAGACCCCTCCTCTGGGAGGAGGGGAACGCAGGAGAAGGGGGGGAGGCAGAAAGCCAGGAGAAGGGAGCCCAAAAGACAAACTGCCAGGCAGGAGGCTAAGCCAGGATGCTGCAGCGGCTGCAGACACAGATCAGGGAGGCCAAAAGGACACACAGAGCACATGGACCTCTCACCTCTGGAAAAGTATGTGTCGGGCTCAGGCTCAAGGGTGTGATCTGGGAAGGGGGCTCCCTGTGGAGAGAGGGTCACAACTAGAAGCCCCAGACCAGCAATCTATGCCCCTGCTCCTCCCAGAACCCCAGCCCCTGCGCCCCCACAACATAAACATGTATACACGTACACACAGCCTGCAGCTCCAGGAAGTCTCTGGCTGCTCAGAACCCCCACCCGCTAGGACTTCTGTGGACTGGCTGGGAGCCAAGCCTGACCCAGTTGCCCCACAACACCACTCCCCTCCCTATCCTGGAAGCAGGAAAGGAGAAGCACTGGAAGACCTCAGAGCTCCCTGAGAGCTTGGCCCCACAGGGAGAGAGGAGAGGCGGAGGACTCCCACGACCTGGCCTGAGGACCTGGGGGAGGGAGGCCAGGGAGGCCTGAGGACCCTGGCTTCCAAATGCAGCCACCCCCAGGTTACCCTATGTCAGGAAAAAGAATAGCTGCAGGGCCTATGTCCCTGTGTGGTCTCTTTGGCTATAACCCTGGTTCCCTGAAGACACAAAGTCCTGGGGACCTGGTCTGGGTGGGAGGGCCTGGGGTGAGCAGTTCAACAGAGGGGGCTGGGTGAAGCTCCCACAGTAGGCGGGAGGGAAGCTGGTGGCTGGGCTCAGTTTGTACTGGGGGTCAAAGGGGAGTTCTTTTCCGAAGAATTCTGGGAGAGACGCCAACTAGAGCAAGCTGCTAACCACCCCTCCCTCTCTCTTACTGCACTGGTGTGTGTGTGKGGGGGGGTCCCTGCCAACCAGACTTAACCCTCTCCAGCCTGTGTTGCTCCCAGGGCTGCTGGGAGGGGTCCTCTGGCTGGGCTCAGCTTTCAGTGTTAGGGGACCGGTAGCGCAGGGCACAGGGTATCAGCCTACAAGAACACGGCTGGTTCCACATGGCCCCATCTGGCACCACCCTATCCTACCAACACCTGGGTGACTTTTCTGGGCTCCTCTCCTGAAGGTGTCTGCGGTGACGTGTGTGTGCGTGTCTCAGAGACAGATTGAGAAACAAACTGAAAAGTCCTTGCCAAGGCCCTCCCCCCGCTGGGTCACTGAACATTGTGCCAACCTGTGCCTCTCCCCCTCCCTCCTTCCCATTGTGCCCTGGACCAGAGGCCACAGGGAGGGGGGTTAAAAGGAACAGCTATCCTCATGCTCACCCCTGCTGCTGTCTCCACAGGTCTTCAAACCATACAAACAGCCCCTGCCTTGGCCCTCTTCTTCCTCCCTGGCCCTCTTCTTCCTCCCTGGCTTGCCACATATACTTCTAGAGGAAAGCATTCAGTTATTGCCTGAGATTCCAGAATGGGAAACTGAGTCAGAACAAGGTTTCAGGGCTTCTAGAGCCCATATCCCACACAAATATAAGTCCACCATCACCACCCTTGCTTTGCCCAAAAGAAACAAAAAATAGCTGGGCATGGTGGCTCATGCCTATATTTTCAGCGGCTCTGAGGCAGGAGGATCACAAGTTCAAAGCTAAACCTCAGCAACCAGGTGAGGCCCTAAGCAACTTGGCAAGAACCTGTCTCAAAATTAAAAAAATATAAAAAGGGATGGGGATGTAGCTCAGTGGTAAAGCACCCCTGGGTTTGAACCTCGGTACCAAAAAAGAAACAAACAAACAAAAAATAAAACCCTTGGGCCCTCCCCTCCTGCAGAACACAGTCTAACTGCAGTAGGAGGGAATGAGATAAAACATCAAGAAGGACTTCCATGGATCAAGGATACAATAGCAGCTGGTCCCACCCCAAATGCCTGGGCCTGGATTCCATGGTCCTCTGTCTTTGGCTCAGGCTGAAAATATGAGTGTCTTATCTTATTTTGTTATTTGCCCCTAGCAGGGGAAATCAACTGTTCTGAACCTTAAATTTGCTACCAAGCTTGCAGTTTCCTTCTGGTTGGCTGTTCCCTGTCCCCAATGAAGCAAATGTTCTTAGGGGTGAAGGGGTCACTCTCCTTTCCCTAGCCCTTTATTTTAGAGCACTGTTACACTGTAACTGCCACCACTGTATCCTTAGGACAAGAGGGTGGACTGGTGTTGTCCGGCCCCTGGCAGCAAAGGGCAGAGGGAGAGGGAAAAGGAGAAACTCCAGCTCTTGGCAAAAACCATTTATCCCAAAGAATCCCCACTCCAAGGACCACAGAATTGCCAGAAGCCTCGGCCCTACTCCAAGAAACCTCCCTATCAAAGGGCAGAGGACTCCATGTCCCAGGGAGCTGCAGGAGACCTGTGACTACACACCCCAGACATGTTCCCAGGGAGGGGGGAGATGAAAAGCTCAGGAGTGAGTGTGTGAGCACAAGCACATGCACACATCGCAGACACACCCCAGCACACATTCCTCACAGATACCCCCAGATGCATGCAATCAGAAAACAGGCACAAAGTATCTCCTTATACCCCAAACTCTTCACAAGTAGCCCCTTAAGACCCACAGAGATGCCCAAATGTACAGACAGCTCAAGAGAGGTCAGGAAACATCCAGGATACTGGCCAGTCACACAGAGCTGCCAACAGAAGATACACCTACTCTGGGATACACGCACAGCCACATACACACAAAGTAGTACATGGCCATGTGCTAGCACACAAACTCAAAGGAGCCACCACACAACGCACAGCGTGAAGTCAGATTAGAGGACAACCCCTGGGGGCGGGGGAGTTAGAGGGGGTGGAGAAGCACACAGGGATTTCAAAACAATCCTGGTTTCGAAATGCTAGAAATGCTGGATTCAGGGCCATTCCCAGTAGAGGCTGGGGGGTGGAGAGTGAGGGGGAGGGGAAGACAGGCTCGCCCAGGGCTACCAACCCTGGCAGGAGAAGACTGAGTCCCAGACCATTAGAAAGGGGGCCCAGAAAGAGACACCAAGGTTAGGAGGTACAGCCGGCCCACAGCCAGACAGGGAGGGCCTGAGCTGCTGGACAGGAGGCAAAGAAGGAGAGGCCTTGGCTCCTGCCACTGACAGTGGCAGTGACCACTTTCTCTAAGATAGCCTATGGCTCTGCTTCCCTGGCTGCTAGAAGAGCCCTAGTGTAGCTGAAAACTAAGGGGTCAGAGAGGGTGGGGGGCAGCCCAGGCATACAGAGTTAGGCGTCTTCCAGAACTCCACAAATTCAGGACAGGGTAAGGGACCAAGACTTCCCTATTCTCCACAAGAGGCCCCTAGGGGAGACTGAGGCAGTGAAACACAACATACCCCACACCCAGGAAGTTACCCCTCCCATGGCAGCCAGGATACCCTCACTGCCCCTCCCCCAACCTCTAGGGAAAGTCAGCAGAGCTCACAGAGGGAGGGGGGAGAGGGGAGGTCAGGCCAGGCTGGGGGCGGGGCTGTAGAGGCCTGGCCCTGGCACCCAGCAGAGGAAATTCCAGGCTGTAACTCCAGGCTGCCTTCAGGGCCGCCCATCCAAGTGACATGCAGCAGTTCAGCTGCTCCAAGGCTATGGCCTTCTTCACCTGGCCCCTCAGCCCATGACCCTGGCTTTCCAGCTCTGAAGCCTCAGCTGTGGGGCTTAGAGGTTGGAAAATTAGCACTCCATGAAGAGATACTCAGCCATGGCAAGAGCCCTTGTGGTCCCTAGAGCCAATCTGAGTCTCTTTCCACAGATCCCTGGTGTGAACCTCCAGAGTAGCTATGGGTGGGCAGCTGTTGGGTCTGGCAGGCAGGGGCACAGATGCCAAGCTAGAGCAGCCAGGTGCTCAACAGGTTGAGCCAGTCCCTGGAATAGCCAGCCCCACCCCAGGGAGAGCGGGCTGGCAGAGGCTCCCTGCCCGCGGCACCCAGCCTGTAGCTGCTTCGCTCCCACAGCTGCCCACTTTCCCACGGTGCCATCCCCCTTTATTCATCCCTCACCTCTAGTCAGCAACAGGGCAGTGCCCAGGGTTCTGGTACAAGGAAGCAAGGGATGCCATTTTCCTGTCACCCTTGGGTGCCCAGGCTCTTAAGGTTCCTCACTATCAGCAACCAAAGAGCTTCGGGGAGAGTGGGCATGGCATCAGGGCAGCAGGAACCCCACAGTGCCCTCCACCTCCTTGAGGGCCTCTTCTGATCCTGGGAAGACTGGACACAGACACCATGGCTCCCCAGAGCTGCCCCAGGGCGCTGGGACAGAACTTCAGCCTGCAGGCGCCAGAGGCGGTGTGTGGGGGGTGGTGTCCCAGCTTCTCCACTTAAGACTCCCTGGAGAGAGCCTGTAGAGCTGGTGAGCACTGGCTCCCTCCACTCTTGCCAGAGCTGCTGCTGCCTGCAGCCCCTAGCACTTTCCTCCCACCACCCTCCAGGGCTCCCTGGAGCTCCATCCCAGCCACTCCCCCCAAAGGCAGGCAGCCCCCCCTTTGCACAGCATCTCCTTTAATCTAAAGCAGGTGCCAGGCATTCCAGCCCTTGCTGAGTCGACACTGCCACCAGCTAGGCCTCTGCCCAGAAGGCTACTGCCCTGCCTGGTCATGGAAGTTGAGCCACTGGCCTAGGGCTCCTGCCTAATTCAGGTACCAGGTGGCAGGAACTAGCTAAGCAGAGTCATGGGTGCCCAATGCACTTTCAGCAAGCAAAATCACTGGTTTCCAAATTAGCACTGATGTGCTGAACCCCAGATTTCTGTGGCTGGACCACCAATCCTTCTTTAGGACCCTGCATATCTGCCCACTCCCAGATTTTCCACTCTAGTAATTATAGACTTGTTCTGAGCTTTCCTATGGACCTCTAGAACCCATTTCCAGCTATAGAGCCCCTGCTACCTGGGGCACAAGAGTCACTCTGGACCCAAGATTATAGGTCTGCTGCCCTTCACCAGCACTTCTCCCAACATGAACCCTCATCCCAATTGGGGTAACTGAGAACCCCCTAGAAGGAAGTGGCCAAAAAGCTGGGCTTTCAGGTCTGGTCCTCCTAGGCCAAGGAGACAGATCCCTTGGGGAAGGCAATGTCTTCCTTCCTAGTACCAGATCCCTGCCTCCCACTTTGCCCCTCACCTTCCTCTTCCAGGCTCACTCAGTCCTAAGGCATCTATCAGCCAGGCCTCAGAACAGACACCAGGAAGACTGGGACTCAGCATGCTCTTCCCCTGGGGCCATGAAATCATGGTCCTGACCCAGAGAAGGCAGCCTAGCCTGTGCTGGGGGGTAGCAGAGGAATCCCTGCCCTGAGGAAGTGGCTGCTCCTTGGAGAGTCAAGGAGATGGAAAGAAGAAGGAGAATGGAAGCCCTCACCACCCCAACCCCAGACCCAGGTATCTTTGAAAGAGCTGCTCAGAGACATTAGTGGGATTTTGGCAGATACAATGCAGACAGCCTTCCCAGGTAAATCAGTGTGCCAGGGTTAGGAGGGAAGGAGGGGAAAAGATCAAGGGGGCTGCAGAGACCCTTTCCCAGGACTCAGGCACAAGTCCAGCTCACCTCTGTCAGAAGAACACCTTTCCTCCTGCAGCAGAGGCCCCCCAGACAGGGACACAGACACACACCCCAAGCAGCAGACAGGAGGAGGAGGGAGGGAGGGGGTGTCAGAAAAACCCGGAAGGAAGGAAGCTGGACAGACAGACAGAAGCTGATCCTGGCTTCACTGCTCCAGGGAGACACCCTCCAGACTCCCAGACTTTAAGGGACATTCCCCTTCTCAGCCCCCAAGAGGGAGAAGGGGAGACCCGACTTCCCTGTTGCCTGAAACCAAATTCCAGCAGCCCTGAGGTAGTACTACCCGTTTGGAAAAAGGCCTAAGTCTCACTTTTCTTCCTCACATTCTTCCCAAAGGCTTGTTTGGACCAAGGCAGGGGCCACCTCCCCTTAGCAGTACAGGGACACCTCCAAGGAACTGTGACTGCCCCACCCCCAGCCAAGCCCACAGCACTCAGAATCCTTGGCAGAGAAGGCTCCCCCAGTCTCTGGGCTCCTACTGCTCAAAGGCAGTGCCTGGGGGCAGAGGGTGACCCCAGCTCTCTCCAGCCCCAACCCATCTCCTTCTGGAAACTCCCATCAGCCAAGGAAGGAGTGCTGGGGTGCTGGGACCCAGGGGGTTGTTGAGCCTGGGAGGGGGACTACATCTCCCAGAAGCCCCCAGGGCAGGGTTCGCTGCTCCAGCTGGCCCAAGGCCGGCCTTGTTCTCTATGCTAGGGTGGCAGGGTCCCCAGGCTGCCCCTAAGCCCTTCTCCCTATGCTTTGGGGCTGCCAACCTAATTGGGGGCCTACGAGTAGCTTCCACTGACCCTGGGGGCGTCCCCCTCCCCTTGAACAGTCTGGGGGTGCGTGCCAGAAGGCAAGAAACAATCAGACTGTGTTTCCCCTCCCCGATTCAAACTGGATCTCCCTCCTCACGCTGCTGCTGGCCTGCCATGACTTTCGCCCTAGCCCCCAGCCCACCCCTCACCTCGCGCGGGTCGGGGGTCCTCACGCCAGGCCGGAGCTGGAAGCCATGACCAGGTGAGGGTCGGAGGGTGGATTGGGGTCCTCCTGCTTGCCACTTGGACGTGCGGAGAGGGCGGGCAGGCGGTAATCTTTTGATCCTGGATGCCTTGATCTCAGTACCAGCCCGGCCCGGGAGAGGGTATCCGGGGATCGCTGGGAGCCTGGGTTCCTGCCTCCCGACGGCGGAGCATGGTCGTGGGCGCCGGGCAGCGGCGGGAGAGGGTGCACACCCGCTCCGGCCGGGGCTCGGGGCTGGGGTCTCGGCCCCGAACCTCACGGCTCGGAGTCCTGCTCCAGCTCCTCCTCCCTTCCTTCCTTCCTTCCGTCCTTCCTTCCTTCCTTCTCCTCCTCCTTTCACTTTCCCCGAGGCCCGCGGGGACGGCGGGCGCGGGGCGGGGAGGGGGCTGTCTAGGCGCTTATTGTTGGTCGGACGCCGAGGGTCCGGGTCGCAGCCCCCGGGCGGCGCGGCGCCGGGGGACCCAGGCGTGCGGGCGTCCGGCCGGCTGGCTCCGGGCGGCGGCGGTGGTGCAGCGGCCCCGGGTCCGGGGCATGTCCGGCCACTGGCTCTGCCGCGCGCCGCCGCCTCCCCGGGCTCCCTTGCACTGCCGGAGCCTCGCTCGCCCCTCCACTCGGCTCCTCTCCCCAGCCTGAATAAGCATCGGGGCTCTCTGGCTGCCTCCTTCTGCCTTCATACCAGAGCCCGGAGAGGCCCCTGTCAAAATAAGAGCTCCCCCATCTCGCTCGTCTCCTCGCCCAACCCGGCTCCCCCAGCCTCCCAGTGGTCTGACTCGGTAAGGCGCCCAGCCGGCTAGCGCGAGGCAGGTTGGCCCGGGGGAGGGGAGGGGGGCTTCTGTCTTTCTTTCCTACCCATTCCTGAGGACTGGGGAGGAGACGCACCAACAGCATCCCAGGCTAGCGAGAGGTCCCACAAACCTACCCTACTATATGTGCGGACTGGATGGAGTTGCCTGGACACACACACACACACACACACACACACACACACACACACCGCACAGGCTTCCCTCTTCAATGTACCCACCCACATCCATTTTGCACTGAACATCTCTTTTATTCATATCTCTCTCTCTCTCTCTCTCTCTCTCTCTCTCTCTCTCTCTCTCTCTCTCTCTCTCTCTCTCTCCTAGTACACCATGAGGACATAGACTGAATTTTCATCTCAAGTCTCAGCAGGGGTGTAAAGTGGATGGTAAGAAAATGTTTGTGGAAGTGAAACCTTTGTCTTCTCAAAAGAAATTTCTCCTAACCTTAAAAGGCTTTCTTCCCCCCACCTACCTCTCTACCTATCTCTCTCTCTTTCTCTTTCTCTCTCTCTCCACCTATAGAATAGTAGATACATTGAAAAAGAAATTATAAGGCAGTTTTTAAAAGCATATCACATGTTATTTCAGTGTTCATCATGAACTTGCAAGAAAGATATTTTGGCCCCATTACACAGATGAGGAAACTGAGACTTGCATTATATAAGGATTTACTCAGGATTACACAACTAGACCATGGTAAGCCCAGGACTAGAAGTTGGATTTCTTTATCCCTGGATATCTTCCCCACCCACCCAGAATTAATACCAACAATTGATAAGCATTGACTATTTCAGAAGGAAATGAAACTAACAAGTCTATTTGCTCCTTTCTGTTCCCATTGTCCTCTCTCTCCAGAAAGCTCTAGCTCCAGTGACCTCCCTCTCTTCTGACCACCTATTATTTGTGCACCACCCATCTAAATGCTTACTTGTATTTTCCTTGTTTCTCCTGTGTGTATGTCTGGTTGGTGCCAAAAGATTCTTAAGGGCTCAGACTATGCCTTCTATCCTCTGTGTTCACCCAAGGTTGGCTCAAGTCCTGGCTAGGTTCATAGTGGAACTTCAGTAAATCTTGACTTGATGGATTGATGGTTCCAGAAACTAGGTACTGAGCAAGGTCTGGGGAGGCTCAAATGTGTGTGTAATAGGGGGATGAAGATACCCTGACAAACAGATGATAACATAACCTTTCCTGAGTGCCTAACACAATCACAGTTTACAAAGCACTTTCATGAACATTATCTCACTATCATGCTTTAATCCAATCAACAAAACTTTCCCAAGTGCCTACTAAGAATTGTGCTAGGTTAGGGGTTGAAACGTCATAATTCTAAGTTAAGTCTTATCTTCATTTAAAGGCGATGAAACTGAAGCCCAGAGTGACTATCCCAGCACCTAGGATAGTACCTGGCTCTGGGAATTAGGGTTTAATTTCTTTTCTTTTCTCCAGGATCCCCAGGGGATAGACTGGATCTCAAAGCAGAGGGCCGGTCCTAAAACATAATAGTTTTTAGGAGGGTCCACTCCATTTACTTGGGTCAGTATCACGTATATGACAAGCCACATGGGCCTTTTCGGATCCTTTTGGCACAAGTTCAATTCATAGTAGGTCCAGAAAACAATGTTTGTAGGGATGAGGGTGGACTTGTTGCAAGGGGTCTCAAATGTGGTACACAGTCAAGTTCAAGAGTGTTCGGTATGTTCTGTGGAGCAGCCATGTGGAGCGGAGCGCTCCCCAGGGTGGGGCTGTGACTCATTCCCCCAGCGTAGGTTCCAGGTCGAGATGCCGAGCAGAGCTCTGGGCAGCCACGAGTTCTGGGTGGAACCCTGGAGCGAAAAAAAGAGGCGAGCGGCCCATTGGTGGAATCGAGCAGCTCCCTCTACTGGAGAACTCGGGGAACCACTGTGTTTCCGTATATCTGTGTGTCACTGTGTCACGAGGGATGTCACAGGTGTGTCAGCGAGAGTCGGTGTGGGCATTTGTGGGTGGACGTGCCGGCATGGGTAAGGGTGTGTGAGGGTGCCTGTTCGTGGCTCACTGTGGCTGTGCCAGCGCCATTAGGGGCCTTTTCTGGAAACACAGTGTGTACCCACAACCACATCTTGTGTTATAATTTATTTACTTTGGGGATGGGAGTAGGGGAGGCCCTAGCGATGCTTATTATCTGAAATTACGTATCTTCCTGTTACTGGAATTACTGGGAAGAACCGATCTTCCAGCTGACATTCCTCACCTGATCGTTTAGTAGCTTGAGAAGGTGGGAGCGGGTCGGGCCAGGGGAGCATTTCCTGGGAAGCTACTCCACGCGCTGAAGCAACCGTGGACCCAAGAAAGGGTTAACCCGGAGCCCCACAATGACTTCAATCATTGGTTCAGCGTACTGTCAGTCAGCGTTATGAGGGCGGGGTTTTCGAGGCAGCAGTCGGATTGCCTGACGCCCCTCAGTTGCCCCTCGACCCCCCACATCATTTCACCCCCATCTCGGTGGAGACACCTTCCTGGGCCCTGGAGGAAGAGCAGATCCGGGCATCCTGGCTTCCCTACTCTCTCCAGCTGCCTGGCTTCCTGGCTTCCTGATAGATGGTGATTATTATATAATAGACTTGCTGGACAGAACCGTGCCAGCGCTCGGAACACTTTGCCCCCTCCTCGAAACCTGCTGTAGGACCTGGCACCTGCAGCCCAGAGCCTGCTGCCCAGCTCTGCCGGCGTCCCAAGCACCTTCTCCATCCCGGGGCGGGATCCCAGAGCCACCTTCTCTGGTGGCCTGGGGCCGTGTTCTAGGATGGGGCGGGCGCCAGGCTGGGGAGTCGCGCCGGCGTCCCTTAGGTCTCAGGGTCGGCTTGTGGAGTGTGGCTTTACCAGCGCCTAAGATTATGGGATCCACTAGATCCCCTCCAACCTGAACTTGGAACTTGGGAGCCAACAGAGGTGGGGCTAGGGGGCGCAGGGGCCAAGGTTGGAAAGGGAAAGGAGTTTGGAAAAGGTGCGGGGGCAGGAAACGGGAGGCTGAGAGAGGGGGCCGACGGGGGCAGCGGGGGAGGGACTCTTATCCTGACAGAGCTCCCGCCTTCCCCGACTGGAGGGTTTGGAAAAACTGAGCAGGCAGCCAAGGCTTGGCTGGAAATCCTGCAGCCCACCCTCCTGGGGACACAAAGCTGTAGGGCGGGGGCAGGGCGAGGGAAGAGAGCACGACCCCGGGTGGGCAGGGCCTCTTTTGGGGCTGGGGGCCCAGGGGCCAGGTCCCTGGGGAGGGGGTTCCTGGCGCTGTCTCCCTGCAGTCTGCTTCCCCCTTCTCCCGCTCTCCCCCCTCCTCCCCCTCCCCCTCTCAGGCTCCAGTCTTGCAGATTGCGGGCAGACTTAACTCCTTGCACTCCAGCTCGGTGGAGTCTGCGATGGTGACGCTGCGAAGGAAGGAAGGAGGGAGGGAGGGACTCCAGACCCCACTCCCACCCATAATTTAACACCTTGTGGCCCGGAACGCCATCCCGGAACTTGTGCTGGTCAGACCCTGACCGGCTGCCTGGTACAGGAGGAGCCACACGCAAAGCCGCGCACCTGGAATTGTGAAATCCAGTCCACTTTTTGCCCAATCTTAACCGTCTACCCTCTCCGCTCCCATCTTCTGTGTCGGTCCTCCACTCTCTGGCCACCCTCCCCGCCTTCACCCACTAGTTGGGGCCGGGGGCCCCTGGCGGATAGAAGGCTGCTGGGAGCCCGGAAGTCTGGGTTTGGAAGCTACCTGAGCTTTCTCCTCTATATCCCTCCTCTAAGGCCCCCTCTCAGGTGACCACAGTCCTTGCCTCTTTCACTGACAGGCTCTTGCACCCATTTGAGGGGCTAGCTACCCAACTGAACGTTTACCTTCCCCAGGTCCAGCTAGCACAAGGAACTGAGTTCCTGGAAAATCTGACTTCACCTCTACCTAGACCCCCTCCTCTGTCAGATTTGTCCCCCAAGTTCTGCTACGAATGATTCTGCCCGAGAGGTACTGCAGACTAGGCAGGAAGGAGTTAACGAAGCTACCGGGCTCAAAGTGACAGCCAGGTGAGGCACCGCCCTTCTTGGCCTCAGGTGCGAGTGGGTGGGGAAGACGGGGGACGCTGACCTTAAGGGCTGCTTTCCTTTTGCCCCCTGGTGGCTAGATCAGGCTTAGCAACCTTTGGCAAAAGTCTGTTCACGTGGAGGTTCGCGGAAGGACGACTTTGTGAACTAAAGCTAAAAGAAGCTAAAAGTCCTCGTCTTCCAAGGGAGAGAGATCCTTCTAGGGGGTGCGGAGAGGGAGCTCCCACTATCCCTGCCTATCGTGCTGTCCCCACTCAGAAGACTGCCAGGCGCTTCCATATCCTTATCCTAGGAACTCTACTTACAGGACCCAAGTATTAGAGACACCTGAAGGAGGGCATGGAATAAAGCAGAAGACACCAAGTCCTGACCTCTCCGGATCTCCATATAATAGAGGGGGTTAGAGGAGGAAGCTGCCCTCCCCCCCACACACACACACCTTTCCTTTTTTGCCCCAGGCCTTTTCAGAGCTCCTACTCCCTTTAAATCCCAGCATCAGATACAACCCTCAGGCCAGGTCCAAAGCTCCTACCAGCTCCTACCTTGTTCCTTAAGCTTCCCTCCCCTCAAGTGAAGCCATCTTCTGGATCTTGCCCCATAAAAAGACTCTCCTTGCTGGAGCCTAGGAGCTCACAGCCACTTCCTCTTATTCCCAGCATGGCTGCATCTCTTCCCATCTAAAAGCCCTCTCAGGTTAGCAAAGCCAAGGATTTGAAGGGTTCCCTTTCTCCTCCCACCCCCATCTTCAATTGCCTCACTTCTCATTTTCTTTTTTTTTTTTTTGGTACCCGGGATTGAACTCGGGCACTTGGCCACTGAACCACATCCCCAGCCCTATTTTGTATTTTATTTAGAGACAGGGTCTCACTGAGTTGCTTATACCTCACTTATCCTGACACTGGCTTTGAACTTCCAATCCTCCTGCCTCAGCCTCCCAAGATGCTGGGATTACAGGCGCACCTGGCTTCTCTTCTCATTTTCTACTGTCTTCTAAGATTTACGGTACCTGCATAGGCAGTTCACCCAATAGGAGACAATTCTGTCATTTTGTACATTGTGATATCTAACTTATTTGCCTTTTCTTCCAGGAACTCCTTTCTGATGGTGGACTCTGCCTACTTATTCATTCAACAAATACCTATTGAGATCTACTATGTGCCAGGCACTGGACTAGAACTAGACATATGTTAGTGACAAAACAGATAAGGTCCTTACTCTTACACAGCTGACAGCCTAGCTGGGGACAGACAGGTAAACAGAGGATTTCAATTCAGTGTAATTAGGGGTTAGGGAGCACTTAGGAAAGACCTTACCCGTGTTTTGGGTAACTGCAGTGTGGATCACCATCTGAACTGAGACTTCATACAAGCCTCAGGTGTGGTTCAATCCAGGCAGACAGTGCATATCTCACTGGGGTTCCAAAGATAGACAGGATTGCAGCAAGAGGTCTAGACCAGATGTCATAAGAGATCACTAAGGCTTAATTTCCATAAAATCCCTTGCTAATAAATTCTCCAAGTCCCCAAAGAAAGAAGATGGGCCTGAGAGTCCAGAGTATGTGACATCAGCCTAGTCAGTCCCACTCTCTGGGCCTTACTTCATTCTTCTTGTTCTTTTTTAACCTACCTCTCAGGCAAGATCTTGGTTTTCTTCAAATATTAAAAAGAAAGAAAGATGGGTTGAATTTAGCTCCAAGATCTTTATTCTGAAGACCACAATTAGATAGCAGGCTTGTTGAGAGGGATAAACACTTAGCTTTAACCAGCATGGGGAGGGGGCAGAGTTCTTAAACCCAGAAGCAGGTGCTTGCCTAGTGTGTGCAGGGTCCTGGGTTTGATCCCCAGCACCACAAAATAAATAAGCATAAAGCTAGGAGAAGTTATCAGAGGCAGGATCCTCAAAAGAAGTCGAAACCAGTCAACCCTACTCCTTGCCTGCTGCCCACTGGTCTGGCAGTTCTAAGTCCTGGGAACATAATTCTTGCCATTTAATTCTTGTGTTAAAGGCAAGAGCCTTTCTGAGATACTTCTGGGAGCAGAGTGCTTTGGGGGGCAGTGCTTACATTACTTTTATATGTAGCACTACAGAACTGATATTTTTAAGAGGTGAAAGGCTTCCACACTGGTGAAAGGACTTGCCTGAGATCACGTGGTGGATGAGTGATAGCTGGAAGTCTAATTCCACATCCAGACTCTTTCCACGACACCACCATAGCACTTGTTTCCAACTTTCCATTGGACTTCTTCCTGTGTCTGGCTCATTTCCCTGTGAGGCCATAAGATCTGGGAAGGCAGGCTTGGCCTCCTTATCTGGACCCCCCAGAGCCTGGACGTGGTGCTCAGAACTGCTAGTCTCCCAGGTACCCCCTTTTTTCTCCAAGCCTAACCCTATTGACACGCATATAGACCCCTGGGTCATTTTTTAAAAGCTTCCCTGGATTATGGACAAAGCCCTGGCCAGGCATAGTCAAAGTACCAGTCAGACCTAAAACCTGGTCTGTGACTTGAAGTAAACTGATTAACACTGATTAACTTCCCTAGCCTTCAAGTTCTGTTGAGACCCATAACCTAACTCCTAGGCCTTTTGTAACTTGAAATCCAAGCTTGGGAAGTGTTTTTAAAAAACATAGCTCAGAGGGGCTGCGGATGTGGCTCAAGCGGTAGCACGCTCGCCTGGCATGTGTGCGGCTGGGGTTCAATCCTTAGCACCACATAAAAACAAACATGTTGTGTCTGCCAAAAACTAAAAAATAAATATTAAAAAAATTATCTCTCTAAAAAAAAAGATATATATATATATATATATATATATATATATATATATAKAKAGAGAGAGAGAGAGAGAGAGAGAGAGAGAGAGAGTGAGTGTCTTTTTTCAGGATCCCACAGCCTCAGGACCATGTGTGTGCTATCTGCAGGGACTGGGGTGCTATGAACTAGGGCACTTACACCATGGTACTATGCTTAGTCCTATGAAAGTTACAGGATGTGTGAGCTGAATCTATTCTGGACCCCTACAACCCAAACACTGATCATAATTGTAAAACTGAATTCTAGGTTTTACTTGTATCTTTGGAAGGCTGTCCAGTTCATAACCTACAACCACATGTGTTCAAACTCCCTTTCTTTTGCTGCTTTGCTACACCTTGCAACAGTCACGGTCACTCTGAAAACTCCAAATCAGCCCCTCGGTCCTTGGTAGTCAACAGAGCTTTTGTCTTCCTCTGTCCACTGTCATCTCCCACTTGCACACTGCATGGATTAGTGGAGACACTCCGCTTTCATTATTTTCTTCTTTTCTTCCCCCCTCTCACCTACTGTCCTGTCTCCTAGTTCTGTATTACAAAAGCCCTGGGAGGAGCAGGCCAAGACAAGATTTCCAGCAACAGGTGAGGGATAAAATTATCTTGGGGGTGAGAGGAGGCGGGGCAGAGGAAGGCTGGGGGCAGTCAATTTTTTAGTTTTTTGTTTTGTTTTGTTTTGGTTTGTTTTGTAGTACTGGGGATCAAACCAGGGTCTCACACCTGCTAAGCATGTGCTCTACCACTGAGCTACATCCCCAAACCTTTTTATTTTATTTCATTCAGTGTCTTACTAAGTAGCTCAGGCCAACTTTGAACTTGTGATGGTCTTGCCTCAACCTCTCAAATAGTTGGAATTACAGATTTGCACTACTGTATCCAACTAATGATTAGGAAGTTTTATCCTGTCACAGATAACATAGGTATCTCCCTCTAGGGGCAAATGAGATGGGGATAATGAAAGAACAATAAAGAATGCTAAATAATGAAAAGGTGTGGAGGTTATGCAGTCAGTTCAGGTTGCAAGCTCGGGGAGATGGAGAATGAGGAAACTGACCTGAGTCTGGAAGGAGAGGCCAGGTGGGTACCAGGGAGCACAGAGGACCGGGTAAAGGGCACAAGAAGAGCACAAGCAGGAGCAATCCTGTTCTTGGACCTCAAAAACCAACTACCTAGGAGCTGGGGTTGTGGCTCAGCGGTAGAGCGCTTGCCTAGCATGTGTGAGGCCCTGGTTTCGATCCTCAGCACTACATAAAAATAAATAAAATAAAGGTATTGTGTCCAACTACAATTGAAAAATAAATATTTTTTTAAAAATTGTTTAAAAAAAAAAAAAAAACTACCAAGTTCAAATTCTTTCTGGTGTGGAACTCCCTGCCAACATTTCTGGCAAGCAGTGTCCCAGAATCATCTCGAACATCCCCAGGAATGGAGAGCTTATTGCCTCCCAAGACAGCCCATTTCATTTATGAGCATCTGCTTTTCCTTCCTCTGAGCTGAACTCTGTCTCCCAGTGGTCTCCACTGAACTGAACTTCACTTTGAGCTGAACTTCACTTTGAGCTGAACTTCACTTTGAGTTCCTGGTGGTCCATGTATTATATCATGGGGGTCACACAATGTAAGTCTAATTCTTCACATATTTGAGCTTCAGTGACCCTGACTCTTATCTTCTTTAGCTCAAACATTTCCAGTTCACTAAACAGTGACTTCATGATAACATCTGACCAACACAGAGTAAAGCAGGAGTGTCTGTCCTGTCCTTTATTCCAAATGCCATATTTCCAGCAAAATATTTCTTTTTTTTTTTTTAAAGAGAGAAAGAAGAGAATTTTTAACTTTTATTTGTTTAGTTTTCGGCTGACACAACATCTTTGTTTGTATGTGGTGCTGAGGATCGAACCCGGGCCGCACGCATGCCAGGTGAACGCGCTACCGCTTGAGCCACATCCCCAGCCCCAGCAAAATATTTCTTACTGAAACCCTGATTCTTTTTCACTGAAACTACCTCTAGGTCATGCCTGGCCCATTATGTGCTACTAAGGTCTTACGTTTTTGTTTTGTTTTGTTTTGTTTGTTTGTTGGTACCAGGGATTGAACTCAAGGGCACTCAACCACTGAACCACATCCCCAGCCCTATTTTGTATTTTATTTAGAGACAGGGTCTCACTGAGTTGCTTAGCACCTCGATAAGTTGCCAAGACTGGCTTTGAACTTGTGATCCTCCTGCCTCAACCTCCCGAGCCACTGGGATTACAGGCTTGCAACACTGTGCCAGCTCTTACTAGCATTTCTGAACATTTCATCTTATTTGGTTTACCTACCATTCTATGCTTGGAGCCAATTTATGGATCTTTATCCTGTCTTTCAATGTCTACTATCCTTCCAGGCTTGTTATCTGTGAATTGTGATTCTTCACTTAAGGTGTTGATCAAAATAATTAACAGGACAGAGATGAAAACAATCCCTAAAGTGCACAGATGTTTTTCATTGATACCAATTCATGTCACATTGAGAAGTAGCAAGATTGACTCAGGAGACTGAGGCAGGAGGATCATATTTGAGGTCAATCTGGGCAACTTTGCAAGACCTGTCCCAAAATAAAATAAAAATAAAAAGAGCTGGGAATGTAGTTAGGTGGTAGAGTGCCCTGGCTTGAAGAAAGAAAGAAAGAAAGGGGTGGGAGGGAGGGAGGGGAAGAAAGAAAGAGAGAAAGAAAGGAAGAAAAGCAAGATATATGTATACATACGTAGGAGACATATTTGTATGGGATGGAGTCAGATCAGATAAGCCTTGAAAGCTTAATGGAAAAATAAGGAAATAGGCTCAGAAGTGTTTGAGTAGAAGAGTAATATGGGTAAAAAACACTACCTTGGGAACTCTACAAATCTGGATTTGAGTTCTGGCTCTGGCTTACTAACTGAAGAGCATCGAAGAAATCAATCACTCCAAGCACTGATTTCTTCTTCATTAAAATGGGATAATATCTCATTTATAAAGTATTATGAAGATCGGGATTCCACATATGAAGAGCGTAGAACATAGAACAAGGTTAAGGTGCTCAATACAGGAAGAAGAAAACTAAGGAGGGGTGAGGAGAAGGAGAAGAAAGCTGTGCTTAAGACAGGGCTGATTTCTGAGTAGGGATTACAGTAGGCGAAAGAGAAGCATCCACCTCAGGGACAGCAGTGAGGGCCTAGGATGGCTTGCTGGGTGTTTGGTGTAGGGTGATATACTTGAAATGGCAAAGGAACAGAGGCAGATATGAATGGCATTTCACAAGGAGAATTGATACACTCTGGACTACGGAGAATGACAGAGAGGGGTACCTATACCCTGGCACGCTGACACCATGCTGCTTCCTGTGAAAGTTACAGGACATGAAGCGAAATATCAACAGGAAGCACCAAGATTTTTACATTGAGTAGTGACAGGGGAGTACAAAGAGGGATGATGGTTTGGGGAAGACAGTTCATGTTTAGGGTTATTGAATTAGACATGATAGCAGGATATTCTAATAGGTGTGACTGGTGAGGAGGTGGAGAGATTTGATTGGAACTTGGGAGGGAGAGAAGTTGGCCACAGTCGGGTTTTCAGGAAGCACCCCTTGTCAGTGGTAATTGTAGGCGTTGGCTGAGGTCTCTGACAATGATTTGGGAAGCAAACCAAGGGCAGTGCCTCACAGGTCACCCCAGGGCCATCATGATTCTGACATAGGGCTGAAGAAGAAACTGCCCAATACTGCTGTCCCTCCCCACTGTTCCCAGCCCCTGGCCAGAGATGAACAGGCCACCCACCAACTGCATCACTGCAGACAGACCCACACCCCACTTAACTCTGCCCCTCCAGGGCTCTCCCTTCTCTGCCCTGATAGCAGGAGGGACACAGGTTCTTGTCTAACCCCCACTGGTTGCTACAGTTGTGGAGTTGAGAAGGAAGAGACAGGAGGGAGGCTACAGAAAGAGGTCTGGACAGAGGATGCAGGGTGTCCTTAAGGAGCAAAGGAGAATCGGAGAAGCTGAGCGATAAGGACACAGGTGAGCACCCTGAGTCCACGGAAAAGCAGACCCCCAGACGAAGAAGAAAGAGAGACTGAAGGAGGGGGCAGAAAAAAAGATTTGCCGACAAGCTGATGAAGTGCAACTGAGAAAACTGTTGCCATGGTGACAGGTCCAGAGGAGGGAATAGGAATATAAATCGGATTATGAGTTGGGGGAGTCCGTGGGGGGCGGGTGTTGAAGGCCCAGAGGCACTCTGCCACATCGGGCTCCCCACCAAACTTCCTTCCACCTGTGAGGAACACCTTTCCCGAGGGTCTCTCCCCCTCCCCAGCCAGGCAAGGAACACAAGAGCAGCAGCACAGGAGGGGCCCAGGGCTCAGGCACAGCTCAGCCCTTCTCCCTGGAGTGAAATAGAATAGACCTGTGTCCCTATCCCCCAAGGTGGCCCTTCCTCTTGGAGGCTTCTCTCCAAGGGCCCTGGTTTATTTGATCCTACCTCTTCTTCAGAGGCTCAAAGAGCAAGAGAGAGGAATTTGTTTTAAGCTCCTACTATGTGCCCAACTGTCCTGGGCACTTGCTGCCTCCTTTAATTCGTCCTTGCCACCACCTCCATTTAAAGACAGGAAACTGAGATCAAGGTCATTAGCTGGAAGTAGCAGACGACAGGAGGTATAGCCCTGGCCCATCTGTTCCAGAGACATTTGCTCTCCTAGCCCACTGCCTACCTCAGGAGCCTGCTTCCCCTCTCCCTGGTTTTTCCTGCACCCTTACAGGTCATAGGAGCTGCTCAAAGAATGGATTAATGCAAGGTCTGCCTCTATTCTTAGAGATAC